ATGGGAGCCCCGGCGAAGATACCATCGGCAAAGAAGGACGCTCCGGCCTACAAAACCACGGCGCCGATCTATGACGAGAAGGTAGCAGCTGAGGTCTACAACAGGGCGATGGCCACTCAGGTGACGCTTACCCAGCGCGAACTACTCTCTCTCTCCGCCGAAGTCCGTTCACAGGTCAGGGAAGCCACGTCGGCACGCCAATCGCCTGCCAGAGACGCCAGCAATGTTCGGACCTTCTACCAAGATGCCGATCTACCCTATGCCATCGACGACCTCGAACCACCGACTCGACCAACCGTCTCCTCCTTCGTCAATGTCCTGCACCAACCGGAATCACCCCCGCCTGGCGCGATCATCATCCCCGACATGTACGAAACGTACCTGAAGAATCTACAGCCCGGTCAGGTTCCTCAGCCGTTGATAGTCGCTAAAGAGTCTTCAGCCCTAAGGTCCATTGTTCCCCTCGTCGATCACCAACAGGAAGTCGAATGCGTCATCGATCCGGGTTCACAAGTCATCGCCATGTCGGAAGGCATTTGCAATGAACTGGCGCTCATCTACGACCCCGAAATCGTCCTCAATATGCAGTCGGCAAATGGCGAAATCGACCGATCCTTGGGCCTCACACGCAACGTCCCATTCCTCATCGGCGATATCACCTTGTACCTCCAAGTCCACATCATTCGTAACCCAGCCTACGACGTTCTCCTCGGTCGGCCCTTCGACATCCTCACCGAAAGTATCGTCAAGAATTATTCAAACGAAGACCAGACGATCACCATCAGTGACCCGAACACGGGACGACGAGCCACCATTCCGACGATTAGACGAGGACCCCCTCGAGTCCTTCACCGAAGACAAGCGGGTTTTCGCGACTCGATGAATTGATCCGAGATCAAGGAGAAGTTGCACTGATCATTTCCACCGATCATGATACCCCCAATTTCCCACTTATTGAAGCGTCCTCAGATTTCCATTCTCCATCTCCCTCTTGTCGCGATCTTTGTCTCAAGTATATTATGGCCTCCGATTTGGGGCCCAAAAATCATCTCAAAAACAATCTCGATTCCGATATGTCGTCCTTATTTTCCTCAGTCGTCCCCGGTTCTTTCCATTCCACTAATATCGCCGACCCGGTTGCCATCTTCGCCGCCAAGCGCAAGTACAAACCGGTTGCACAGAAAACACAACCAGTCTTGGCCGACCTCCCCGAAAAGTTCCGAATCGTTCGGAACATCTTTGGTGACCCTCTCGCTACCCTTCCAACGCTGACACCGAACCCCCCACCCTTCACGCCGACCGGCAGATACACAGCCGAACGGCGCGACCTCATCGACAAAGTCCACTCAGACGACTTCCTTTGGCCCGCCGAACGACAGCTCATGCACCATTTCATGTGTCTACAAGAGATGGGATTTGCCTGGGACGATTCGGAACGCGGACGTTTCCGCGAGGACTTCTTCCCACCAGTCAATATGCCGGTAGTCGAGCACAAGCCCTGGGTTCAGCGCAACATTCCGATTCCACCAGGCATCTACGACGAAGTGTGCCGACTTATCAAAACCAAGATCGCCGCTGGAGTCTATGAGCCGTCGAATTCGTCCTACCGATCGCGCTGGTTTACAGTCGTCAAGAAGACGAATAGCACCTCCACTGGCACCAAACTCCGAATCGTTCACAGCCTCGAACCCTTGAACGCCGTCACCATCCAGCATTCAGGTGTGCCCCCATATACCGATCAGATCGCTGAACAGTTTGCAGCTCGCGCTTGTGGCGGCATTCTGGATCTCTATGTTGGCTATGACGAACGAGGGCTCGCCGAATCATCTCGCGACTTCACCACGTTCCAGACCCCATTCGGCGCCCACCGACTCGTCACCCTGCCCATGGGATGGACAAATTCGGTCCCGATCTTCCACGACGACGTCACCCACATCCTCCAGCCAGAAAAACCAGACACCACCATTCCGTTCATCGACGATGTCCCGATTCGGGGCCCACCGACCCGATACGAACTTCCGAACGGCGGGTTCGAGACGCACCCCGACAACCCCGGCATACGACGATTTGTGTGGGAACACTTTCAAGGCCTCAATCGGGTGGTTCAGCGGATGAAGTACAGCGGAGGAACATTTTCGGGACACAAGGCGACACTCTGCGCAGCCGAAATCACGGTGGTCGGCCATCGCTGCACGTACGAAGGAAGATTGCCCGACGAGTCTAGGGTAGAGTCAATTATGAAGTGGGGACCTTGCAGGGATCTCTCAGATGTTCGGGCATTTTTGGGGACGATCGGTGTCGTTCGGATCTTCATTCGGAATTTTGCACACAGGGCGCATGCACTGACAATGTTAACACGCAAAGATTTTCCATTCGTGTTCGGCCCAGACCAGATAGCGGCCCAGGACGACCTCCGGTCGGCGCTTCTTGAATCGCCAGCCCTTCGGCCGATCGACTATGGGTCGGCAGCCAACGTCATCCTCGCCGTCGATACCTCACAAATCGCGGTCGGCTTCCACCTCTGTCAATGTGCGCTCGACAATCCCCGGGTTCGGTACTATGCCCGATTCGGCTCCATCACCCTTAACGACCGCGAATCGCGATTCTCCCAACCCAAGCTCGAACTCTACGGCCTCTTTCGCGCCCTCCGATCGCTCAAAATGTACCTCATCGGCGTTCGGAACCTGATAGTCGAAGTAGACGCACGCTACATCAAGGGCATGCTCACTAACCCGGATCTCGAACCCAGCGCTAGCATCAATCGGTGGATCGTCTCCATCCTCACCTTCCATTTCACACTTGTCCACGTCCCCGGCACCTCTCACGGCCCCGATGGACTCTCCCGACGACCACCACAACCCTCCGATCGACCCGAACCCGAAGACGACTTTGACGACTGGATCGACAATCTCTATGGCTTCCTCCATCAGATCAACAACACGTTCCCCACCTCCAACTCAACTTCGACCACCGCCATCTTCACCTCCTCGCTCGTAGGCGACCCCTTGACCGATACCGACTCCGACGACGAAGGCCCGACCATCGACTATTCGGATATCCCAAGATCGCAAAAAGCTTTGGAAGCCGAGGAACGCCTATGGTTGGTCCACGACTGGCACCGAACATTGGTTCGGCCCCCTTCTCTCTCCGACTCCGAATATGCCACCTTCCTACGATATTGCACTGAGTTCTTCATCGCAGCCGACAAGCTATGGAGAAAAGACTCGCACGGTCGACACAAGATCGTTGCAGCCCCCTCTAGTCGGATCACAATTCTCACTGCCGCCCACGACGACGTTGCTCACAAGGGATTCTACGCCACGACCGCCTTGGTTGCCGAACGCTTCTGGTGGCCGCACATGAGGCAAGACATTTCCTGGTTTGTTCGGACATGTCACCTTTGCCAGATTCGCCAGACTCACAACGTCCTCATTCCCCCGACCGTCGCCACGCCTGCACCACTTTTCGCAAAGATGTATATGGACACTATGCATATGCCGACCGCTGGTGGTTTCAAGTATCTCGTTCAAGGCCGCTGTTCGGTATCGCACTACCCCGAATTCCGCATGCTCCGACGCGAAACAAGCTCAGCCCTCGCCGACTGGATCTTCGAGGATATCATGTGCCGATGGGGAACACTGGTAGAGATCGTCTCCGACAACGGACCAGCATTCGTCAAGGCGCTCGACCAGTTAGCGAAAAAGTACCACGTTCGGCACATCCGTATTTCGGGCTACAATTCCCGCGCCAACGGCATCGCCGAACGACCTCACTTCGACGTTCGGCAGGCTCTGTTCAAAACCGTTGATGGAGATCAGGCCAAGTGGAATCGTGCAGCTCATTTCGTATTCTGGGCTGATCGCATTACCGTTCGGCGCCGAATGGGTTGCTCGCCATACTTCGCAGCGACCGGAACCCATCCCCTTCTCCCCCTCGACATCACTGAAGCCACCTACCTCCTGCCACCGCCGACCACAACCCTCAGCACCACCGACCTCATCGCCCGACGTGCCATAGCCTTGCAGAAACACCGATCAGACCTCGCCCACCTTCGCAGCTCAGTAGTCGGCGCCCGTGTCCAGGCCGCCATCCGATTCGAACAACAGCATTCGGCCACACTTCGCGACTTCAATTTCCACCGAGGCTCGCTTGTCCTGATGCGCAACACAGCCATAGAGAAGGCACTCAATCGGAAGATGCGTCCACGGTATTTAGGGCCATTGCTAGTAATTTCTAGGAATCGGGGAGGGGCGTATATTTTGGCCGAACTCGACGGATCGGTCTTTGACCGGCCAGTGGCGGCATTCCGCATTATTCCTTATTTTGCTCGCAGGTCTCTGAAGCTCGCCGACATTGAAGCCCTCCTCGACATCTCACAAGAACGCCTTCGGGCCATGGAAGAATCCCGATCGAGCAACGACGATGCCGAAGACGACGATGCCGACGAGGAGAATACTGACACCAGCTCCATCCGATCAGCAGAAGACGACGATGCGGCGTCGGCGACTTCTGACTAGACCCACCCTCCCACCCTTCGCTCTCTTTGGTCGGTGACTGGGGACAGTCATGATTTCAGTAGGGAGGAGGATGCACAGATATACCCATTCCTTATTTCACCTATTCGTCACAGACATGGACTGACACCCAATCATTTCCACATCTCTTAGTACTTTTGCTGCCGACCGATCGCCGACCGAATAGTCGGCACTCATTTTCCCCATCACTCCTTCAAGTACCAAGCCGCATTGAAGACTTCTTCCGATTTGCGCAAAACCATAGGGTTTTATGCCTGTGATGACATACTGAGGCTTCCCCTAATATTCCAATTTATTTTCTTCATTTTGCCGAACGCTTCGCTTACAAGTACATTCACACAGTCATTTCGCCGACCGATTTCCCGAACGACACCTCTAGTCTTCGCCAAACGTCTCGTTCATCTCAGGACAGTCCTTTCACTGTTATTTTACATTTTACTGTACTACCGACACCTTGAAACTACTTTACACATCGGGAACAAAGTCGCCCGACACCGACATTCCCGAATCCTCGGCATCCGACGAGTCTTCCACCAACACCACATCCGAAACCGCCGATCCACCCGAACGCGCCTCAAGAACCTCCAACTCACCCTGCCACATCGCGATCGAACGCGCCAGCGAGGCACGAGTACCTTCGGCCACAGCAATGCGGTACCGAAGCTCCGACGCGATGCCTTGCGCGACGACAGGAGACAGGCGAGAGGAGTCGGGCAGGGCGGGGACAGCAGAAGAACGGGGACGGGAAGGGGCCAGGACGGTACGGGTGGTGGTTGGGAGACGCTGGACGGGCTTCCGAACCCGAACAGCTAGACAAGACGATGAGCTCACAGCCCAGCAATGACGAATTGATTACTCACCTTTAGTCCGCGCGATACTCTCGCCGACAGATCGTTCAGGGATGAGTACCTCGACCTTACGCTTCTTAGTCGGGCGCGATGGTTCCGGCTCCCCCGACTTTTCGGCCGCCTTCGCTTTCGACTTCCCTTTCCCCTTCGACTTCCCTTTGTCCTTCGGCATCCACCCGGGCTGGAAGCTACAACCTTTCTGCTCCTTGGAGCACTTCGTACAAGAAACTTGGCCGGCCCTCGTGTAGCACCGAAAAGCTACAGTGGTAAACTCGGTGGCGCACCGATGGCACGCGTATTCGGCCTAGAAGAAAGAAGGGTCAGCAAGCAACAAAAGGCGGCAAGAGGGAGGGGACTTACGAGGACGTCATCCGGCAACAACTCCGGGGGATCCTGCAGCAACTTACCAGCTCCGTTCCGCTCCACAGGAGGCCGAACAGATGACATTCGGCCTGTGCCAGGACCCAGAGGAAGCACGACACGTCCAGCGGTCGGCGTCAGTTGACGCGCGAACTCGATGACAACGGCAGCAGCCGATTGCTTGCCCTTCGCGTCAGTCGGGGCAGCGGCGGCGACCGGGCCCACGCTCATTTGGTCCAGGGCATCGGTTGCGGACGCAAGCTCCGAATCATCGGCGGACGGGTCGGGATGAGAAGAGTCGGCGGACGGATTGGGACGAGAGGAGGACGCGGCGGTAGAAGGAGAAGGGGAGCGAAAGAAGAGAGGAATGGGAAAGACGGACTCTGACTCCAGCTCGGCCAGCTGACGATCACCCTGTTCAGGATCGAGCGACCCGTTGAACATGGCCTCCACCAAGGCCTCCCGACGCCGCTGACGATCTTCTTTGGCCAACTGACAGGCAGCGGCAGCCCGCATCGCCTTGGCTTCCTCAGCCTCACGTTCGGCGACAGCGACCCGCGCAGCCTCCTCTGCCAGGGCCTGTTCTTCGGCCGCTTGTTGCTGTTTCTGCGCTGCAAAGCGCGCCGCACGCTGCGGCAAGATGCGCGAACCCCAGGCAAGCCAGTCGTCGGTGGCAACATGATCGAGGCCACTCTCAGCCTCGGCGACCCAGGCCGCGAGTTCGGGCACGTCCTGCCCACGCGCCGAACGATCGAAAACAGCCTGCAAGGACGTCAGCAGCCAGCAGAAGGCAAAGGGACGGACCGACTTACCACTCGTTTGGCGAACCCCTGCGCCCAGGCCTCGTAATCTTCGTACTCGGCGGCGCCGTCGGGAAGAGCGAGCATGTACTCCCCGAGCTTGGTTTTGAGGACAGAGAGGATGGAGGACATGTTGGAAGGCCGAAAGGATCGGACGAGGAGACGAAGCGGCAGGAGGATGGCAATGAAGGACTTAGTCGCTGGAGAATCAACGATCGGCAGGGGATCGTGGTCACCTGACAAAGCCCCGTGCCACTGCGCTCGGCAGAGGCCGCGATACGCGCCACCGCTTTTTGCCGACACAACTCTCACGCCAGCGTCTAGCTTGGGCGCTAGGACTCAGCCACCCCTTCACCTAATCAGTTGCCACGCCACAGGAGTTTGCCGGCTCCGCTTCGGTCTCTCTCGCACATTGACCCGGGTCTTTCCACGCCATTGCTCTTTGCCGATTCACCGCCTTTTGCCGCACCACTCCCATGCCTCAGCCACATACTCACCTAATCCGATCCCACTCAAGTTTTTTCCACGCCTCCACTCCAGTCTCCACGCCACGGGACTTTGCCGACTCCGCTTCAATCACTGTTGCGCACGCCACAGCTAGTCTTCCCACGCCACCGCTCATTACCGATCATTTTCCCACGTAACTTGCCACATCGCCACTTATTTTCCACGCCACTTTTCCCACGCCACTTTTTCCGCTCCAACTCACAGCCACCGACCACTGACTGAGGACAGTCAGGATTTCAGTAGGGAGGAGATGATGAGCATGCACCCGCGCTAGGGTCCGAGGGAGGTATTCGGGAAGCTTTGGGGAGACACCGAACAGCGCTAGACAAGTACCGAAGACACCGACTATTACCGAACACGGTCGGTCCCTACCCGACCGACGACAAGCCACCGAAGGACGTTCGGCAGCACTTGGGTCAGTTCGCCCACACTTCACGTACTTACCATGACCGCATAGGAGTGTTACGATAAGTGTTTACGAGATCGGAGCCAGTATTCCGTATCGGCCGATGTCCTCCGTGAGTCGGTCGGTCCTTATTGTTTATCTTCCCGACTTCTGCATGGTCGGTCAAACGCGATCTTGCACCATTACTTGGCCACCCTGGTCGTATGATACCTCTTCTTTATTTTTCATTGGTTCTCCAACGCCTATTCCGTCTACCTACGCTCGGGCGATGGATCCCGAACGTTCGGGATTTCGCCATCGCTGATTAACTTTTACCTTATCACCTTCGGAACCCATATGGACATCTCACCTACCTTCTTATCTTCTCTGATTGCTAAGGCTTGGCGCCCATTCGACATCTACTCTCATTTCTTGTTTAATATTTTACTTAGAGGCTCTGTTTACTATAAAAACCTACATACAACTCTGGAATAAACCAGCTTTCGCACCCCACAGTTCAGAGCTCATTCGCACTCGTTTCAACCATCAAAATCGTCTTCATCGACTCCCGAAAACTTGTCATCCTCGTCGTTCGGCCTCATTCGCGTTCGTACTCGTCTCTTCGCTCGTACCCCCCATCCTCCCTCGTATATTGTCAGAGTCCCGTGTGGCTCTTGAAGCACGTAGTTGTCGGTCGCGACACTACCTTCTCGTTACCGACCGAATCCCCGACTCGACCGACCGAACGTTCGGTCGGTGTTCGGCGCAGTCCCGAAACCGCTCGGGCGCTATAATCTCATACTCCCCATTGTTTCTCAGTACGCCATCGATTTCTAAAGTCATCACTAACAATTCCTTGTGTATTAGATACTAGCTCCAGCACCCCCTGCATTAGAGGTTGTTTTGGTGTTGTGCTCGGCACTTAGAGCCACCTCTAGCGTATCACCGACATAGAGATCCAGAATGCCGCCGCACGCGCGAGCTGCAAACTGTTCAGCGATCTGATCGGTATATGGGGGCACACCTGAATGCTGGATGGTGACGGCGTTCAGGGGTTCGAGGCTGTGAACGATTCGGAGTTTGGTGCCAGTGGAGGTGCTATTCGTCTTCTTGACGACTGTAAACCAGCGCGATCGGTAGGACGAATTCGACGGCTCATAGACTCCAGCGGCGATCTTGGTTTTGATAAGTCGGCACACTTCGTCGTAGATGCCTGGTGGAATCGGAATGTTGCGCTAAACCCAGGGCTTGTGCTCGACTACCGGCATATTGACTGGTGGGAAGAAGTCCTCGCGGAAACGTCCGCGTTCCGAGTCGTCCCAGGCGAATCCCATCTCTTGTAGACACATGAAATGGTGCATGAGCTGTCGTTCGGCCGGCCAAAGGAAGTCGTCTGAGTGGACTCTATCGATGAGGTCGCGTTGTTCGGCTGTGTATCGTCCAGTCGGCGTGAAGGGTGGTGGGTTTGGTGTCAGTGTCGGAAGGGTGGCGAGAGGGTCACCAAGGATGTTCCGAACGATTCGGAACTTTTCGGGGAGGTCGGCCAGGACTGGTCGTGTTTTCTGTGCGACCGGTTTGTACTTGCGCTTGGCGGTGAAGATGGCAACCGGGTCGGCGATATTAGTGGAATGGAGAGAACCGGGGACGACTAAGGAAAATGAAGACAACATATCGGAATCGAGATTGTTTTTGAGATGACTTTCGGGCCCCAGGTCGGAGGCCATAATGTACTTGAGACAAAGATCGCGACGAGAGGGAGATAGAGAATGGAAATCTGAGGACACTTCGATAAATGGGAAATTGGGGGTATCATGATCAGTGGAAATGATCAGTGCAACTTCTCCTTGATCTCGGATCAATTCATCGAGTCGCGAAAACCCGCTTGTTTCCGGTGAAGAATTCGAGGGGGTCCTCGCCGGATCGTCGGAATGGTGGCTCGTCGTCCTGTGTTCGGGTCGCTGATGGTGATCGTCTGGTCTTCATTTGAATAATTCTTGACAATACTTTCGGTGAGGATGTCGAAGGGCCGACCGAGGAGAACGTCGTAGGTGGGGTTCCGAATGATGTGGACTTGGAGGTACAGGGTGATGTCGCCGATGAGGAATGGGACGTTGCGTGCGAGGCCCAAGGATCGGTCGATTTCGCCATTCGCCGACTGCATATTGAGGACGATTTCGGGGTCGTAGATGAGCGCCAGTTCATTGCAAATGCCTTCCGACATGGCGATGACTTGTGAACCCGGGTCGATGACACATTCAACTTCCTGCTGATGATCGACGAGGGGAACGATGGACCTTAGGGCAGACGATTCTTTAGCAACTATCAACGGCAGAGGAACCTGACCGGGCTGTAGACTCTTCAGATATGTTTCGTACGTGTCGGGGATGATGATCGCGCCAGGTGGAGGTGTTTCAGGTTGGTGCAGGACATTGACGAAGGAGGAGATGGTCGGTCGAGTTGGTGGTTCGAGATCGTCGATGGCATAGGGTAGATCGGCATCTTGGTAGAAGGTCCGAACATTGCTGGCGTCTTTGGTAGGTGATCGGCGTGCTGACGTGGCTTCCCTGACCTGCGAACGGACTTCGGCGGAGAGGGAGAGTAGTTCGCACTGGGTAAGCGTCACCTGAGTGGCCATCGCCCTGTTGTAGACCTCAGCTGCTACCTTCTCGTCATAGATCGGCGCCGTAGTCCTGTAGGCCGGAGCATCCTTCTTTGCCGAGGGTATCTTCGCCGGGGCTCCCATGTTGCGCTCGTGCGGTGGTGCATAGGTGGCGTCCTGGGCTTTGGCGTATGGGTGGATTGGCGCATCGTCCTTGGCTGGTACCGGGGGCGGTCGCTGAGTCGGGGACGTCGGTCGGGGCTCGGGTTCGGGAGTTTCGGTCCTCGCTCGTCGTTCAGGGGCCGGTGAAGGGGTAGGTGCCGAACGTCCTGTCTGCGCCATTTCTCGTGCCCTTGCGCCCCGTGTTCGGAGCGCAAATAGTTCGCGTTCAAGGCTTGCAATCCGCTGGACGTTGGTGAGTTGGTAAGTCGGGGTGACCTCCAGCAATGAGGGTGAATCGTGACGGGAGGCTATTGTCATCGGGTGAGTCGGCGCCGTGTTTACCGTAAACATCATCTGTCCCGTCGCCAACTGGCCTGGATTCCTGCGGTGCCATTCGTCCACTCGGTCCTTCAGATTACTACCCGTGATTTCTCTGGGTACGAATGCTCCACTTGACAATACAACCTTCCCCTCGATATTCCTCTTGCATTTGCCGATCCGAATGTATTCGGTGACCTCGGGACAGGCGCGCATGAAGTGTTCGGGACTGCCGCAGAACATGCAGTTGTCGCCACCTTGTCCTGGTTGTCGGGATGGTCGATCGGCTGGCCTGGACGTCCCTTGAGCTGCAATAGCCTTGACAAAGGTGTCAGTGAGCCGTTCGAACATGGTCGCCAGGTCTTCGGCCTTGATTGTGTTGGTGGGCGGCGCGGCGGGGGCTGCTCGAGAGATGTCAGTAGACGTAGTGCTGTAGGCGGATGTGGTGCTGTGCAAGACGAATCGGGCCGCATCGTGGATGTCCTGGAGGTTGTACGGGTCGTCTGGGAAATGATCGGGGAACTTGAGTTGTAGACATTGAGAGATTCTTGCCCATAGCTCCGGTTGGAATCCTCTAGCGAAGGCGTGTCCTTGTTTGGCGACTGAGATTCGTGCCTTGCTGAGGAGAAATACCGTGATTGCCAGGAATTGCCGATGATAGTCGCCGAGTTCGCTGAGAGACAAGATGCCGACCCTGCTCGTTTCGCCGACTAGCTTGTCCATATCCGATACCGACCATTTGCGTTCTTCCTCTGATCCGGGGTACAGTCTGTAGACTTCTTCACAGAACTCCTTGAATGTCTTCGTGGCGTCGGTAAAAGTGGTGAGCGATTCCCAAAGCTCACAGGTGTTGACGTCCAGGAATCGGCAAGCGTGTTTCTTCCTTTCCTGCTCGTCTTCTACCGCAGACCGAACGAAGTGGAAGTCCAGATCGGCGAAATATCGTCTCAATTCGCGGGGTTGATGGGGGTCAAAGGTCGGGGCCGTTCGATCTCCACGAGCGGGCATGGATGGGGTCGCCATAGTGAGAAAGTCAAAGGTGGGAGAGAAGGTATTGTTTGCTAAGGTGATCGGGGATGGAGTCGCTGGTTCGAAGGAGCGTTCTAGCGAAGTTGGTCGGATGGTCGGCGTCCAGAAGACGGGGCTGCGTGGGATTAACGGCGAGATGGAGTCGTGGAGGGATGGTATAGGAGACGGGGGTAATTGTTCTAAGAGCGCAAGGTCGAGGATGGGGGAAATTGGCGGGAGTAGCGATTGGTTTGGCGACGACGGTGGGGTTAAGAAGAAAGTGGAGTCGGGTGGTGGCGAGAGCGATGGCGAGGGTTCAAGATCAAGATAGTGATGGTGGGATAGATGCTCCGGGACTATATCGGCGTCTCCGAACAAACTTCGGTCGGCAGATGTTTCCTGAGTATTGAAGCTGTCGATAACTGTTTGTCATTCTTCGCGCTCCGCTGTTGGTCGGGACGAGTGACGTAGATTCCTTGAGGTAATTTTGAATACTAACCCCTCGTGGTGGGCTCCAGAATGATATGCTAGAGGTAGCCCTAAGTGCCGAGCACAACACTAAAACAACCTCTAATGCAGGGGTGCTGGAGCTAGTATCTGATACACAAGGAATTGTAAGTGATGACTTTAGAACATGAAGGCGTACTGAGAAGCAATCGGGGAGTGTGAGATTTTAGCGCCCGAACGGTTTCGGGACTGCGCCGAACACCGACCGAACGTTCAGTCGGTCGTATCGGCAATGCGGTCGGTAACGAGAAGGTAGTGTCGCGACCAACAACTACGTGCTTCAAGAGCCACACGGGACTCTGACAATATACGAGGGAGGACGAGGGGTATAAGCGAAGAGACAAGTACGAACGCGAATGAGGCCGAACGACGAGGATGACAAGTTTTCGGACGTTGACGAAGACGATTTCGATGGTTGAGACGAGTGTGAATGAGCTCTGAACTGTGGGGTGCGAAAGCTGGTTTATTCTAGAGTTGTATGTAGGTTTTTATAGTAAACAGCGCCCCTAAGTAAAATATCGAACCTGAAATGAGAGTAGATGTCGAATGGGCGCCAAGCCTTAGCGATCAGAGAAGATAAGAAGGTAGGTGAGATGTCCATATGGGTTCCGAAGGTGATAAGGTAAAAGTTAATCAGCGATGGCGAAATCCCGAACGTTCGGGATCCATCGCCCGAGCGTAGGTAGACGGAACAGGCGTTGGAGAACCAATGAAAAATAAAGAAGAGGTATCGTACGACCAGGGTGGCCAAGCAATGGTGCAAGATCGCGTTTGACCGACCACGCGGAAGTCAGGGAGATAAGCGATAAGGACCGACCGACTCACGGAGGACATCGGCCGATACGGAATACTGGCCCGATCTCGTACACACCTATCGTAACACTCCTGTGCGGTCATGGTAAGTACGTGAAGTGTGGGCGAACTGACCCAAGTGCTGCCGACTCGTCCTTCGGTGGCTTGTCGTCGGTCGGGTAGGGACCGACCGTGTTCGGTAAAAGTCGGCGTCTTCGGTACTTGTCTAGCGCTGTTCGGTATCTCCCCAAAGCTTCCCGAATACCTCCCTCGGACCCTAGCGCGGATGCATGCTCATCAGCGGTGCCTACATTCTTAGCGAATTAAGCAGGGAAATTATGAGGGAAAAATATGCAGCATTTAGGATTCTACCATATATTGCCAGAGATAGGAAGGCGCAAAGAATCATGCAGTCTAGATACAGAGGAGGGAGCACTGAACCTAAAGACAGCAGCTCAGAGGAGGAAGACTAAAAATAGAAAAGAAGCTGGAAGAACGGTGATAAAGAAGACGTGGATTAACATGAGCCTGATGCCAAGAAATTAAAAAAGGAAGCTCAGAAAATCAGGACACACAAGCGCACATAGGAATGAACGGGGAAGGAAACAGGGAAGTTGTAAAACAAAGTTCCTCATTCCACTCGCCATCATCTTCACCCTCAGAAACACGTCGTCTACCTCATCTGCCATGAAACCTTTACTTAAGATTGGTCAGGGAATCAATATCTATCCCTATAGCGCTATACCGGTAACTACCGGACAGAGCTCGACGACAGGGACGATCTGTATCATGGAGCACATGGAAGGGGACCCATCAACTCTATGTTCAGCGGCGCCCACCTTAACGCATGGATTGATTAATCTGTTCAATGTGCCTGGAGGATTAAGGATAGAAAAGAAGGTATGGATTTTGGAGAAAGCAGGACTGGATGCGGTATGGGGAGGGAAGCAGTTGCTGACAAGATGTGAAGAAGAGGATGCATGGATGGAGGTGAATATTCAGCAGTATCTGGGAACAGACCCGATGGTGAGCCTGTTTAGAGGATCAGTGTGGAGCGAAGAACCAGGAAAAGTTAACTGGTGGGCAGACCATATTCTGGTGCCTAGCATAGCAGCAGATGTTATGGGCATCCTCACTTATTCATTTAGAATGCCAGACATTACCCTATTTTTTGCTCGTCCTTACTTACAGTTTGTGCCAAGGCTTGGCGAGATAGCTGACAGCTCATTTGAGCACACTGCGTTCATTTCCAGACTTCAGCGTGACGAGAAGGAGACCAAGGAATGGCAGTATAACAGATAATCTTTCTTATTTTTCTTAAATCTCTTCTACTATAACTATGGGGAGCAGACAATTTTCATACCACTTTTGCCTTTTGTCATTTTATTATCAGTCTACTTTTACTCAGGAACTTATGAAGATACGGCTGATGGTTTCAGCATTTAGGAGCATATGTGGTAGCGACTCAAGGTTGATACCAGAAAATCTAGAGCGGTCGCGGCTTTAAGGGTTCAAAAGCTTGGCTATGGACAAATTACAAAAAGGGAGCGTAATCTATGGCAATATATTAAGGCTAACTAAGCATATCAAGTATCAACCATCATGTCAACTAACCACAGTGATCAGTTGTCGTGGTGGAATACTCTCCCTCGATCATTATTCCGCAAGTGGAGCACCATCTTTCCTCAGCCACTAGTGGACTTCCAGCCACTTATAGTTCCATCTCAGCCACGGCCGGATTTGATTGATGTTGCATCAGTATTTCCTCCCCCACGCTCATTCTCATCTATTTTATCTGAACCTATACACCGTGTTGACCTTGCATTACTCGCACCATCCATCACTGTTCCAGAAACACCAGTTGATGTGCCTGGTACCATAGCAATTACCCCCGTGGAGCCTGGAATTCGGATGCCACCAATGCAGGCAGGAGGAATAATGATGGGAGTAACAGTGATTACAGAGCGAGATGGAGTATGGTTGGAGGAAGGAGTGTCGATTGACGTTATCGAAAAGAAGGAGAATGGAGTATTTGACTATCAGTCAATTGTCCTGGGGCAGAGAATCTGGAGGGATGATAGGATTGTGGTCTTTTCAGGAAAAGCAAGTGGCAAGCAGATCGTCGTTATCGCCTCTATTCATCAGATCAACTCACCCTCTCTCATGGGATACGCTCTGTATCATAACTTTGGCGAGTATATTCGTGCTCTTTTTATCGCCGATCGTGAATGAGAAGTAACATCTACTGAGGATGTGGAGGAAATCACCAGGCGGGCATTAGGAGGAGCAGGGGCTCAGATATTTCGTCGCTTTCATCATGCCTAATCTTGTTTTATGGTATGCTCCATAAACATTCTTGCAGTCTATCCTTTCTTTCCTTTTGAGTTTCTATGGACATGCTTTTGGTATCACGATTCAACAATCTTTTTAACATTCATTAGCACTTCCGAGTTTCTTTTTTTGAAATCATGGAATCACGTGGTCTAAAAAGAATATACCATCAACCGGGGATGGTTGAATGCTAGTGCCCCGCGGATGTCGCGCTCGCACATTGTTAGGCATCAAATAGTGATGGTAGAATGGAGGGCAGAATATCTGACTAGAAGAAAGAAAAGAGAAACAACCTAGAAGGGACAGGACATTTAATTCCGATTTTCTACATATTTTCGAGTATTTTACCACTTAAACTTGATTTCCTATCCCTTTTCATACTCATAATTCGCTTTTGGGACAGATTCCAGAGCCTAGGGTCTATTTCAGAAAGGGCTAGACCATGGCAAGACAATAAGGAATGGAAAGAAAGCAGTGGAATCTGGTAGAATAGAAAGGAGCTTTAGTGGAAGGATGGAGAATGTTTAGGAAAGGGGCAAGGTCTAGGGCATTCCAAGCTGAAAGGAGGGGAAGGTTCTGAGCAGTTCTGAAGGAAGCTGAAGGAATATTCTACCACATTCTGAGCCTTTCTTTTACTTTCCTTTCTGTTCCTCTGCTTTCCTCCCTATTCTTTTTATTTCTACAGCATTCTTTGTGACTCACAATGACTCTACTCAGCCTGTATATACTAGGAAGGAGATTCCCACTTGAAATAGTATATAAGGAGGCTGATTGTCCTGCTTCAGGCAGAGACCATCTCTCCCTCTTACTTTTACTCAGTCAGTCAGTGCCAGTCAATAAGTTCTTTGAGTGATATCAGTTGGAGATAAGCTGCAAGACTTGTAGGGATACTAGACGAACTAGTAGCTCGCCTTCAATCTGTGTAGCACCTCAGCAACTTGAATCACAAAGTTCTTAAGCCTCTCCTCATTATTCTCAACATTTACGGAGTATTGTCTTTGTTAGTGGTCCGGCACCACTTCAAAAATTTGCTAAATAGCTCAAGATATTCTCATCGTTGCCTATAACTGTGACCAACATTTGTGTATTGTGCCAACACCAGAAGGTATCATCTAGAACAGCAATCAAACGAACACTAGGTACATCCGGAAAAACAGGAAACCCCGATCGTATCTAGGGGAGAAACCATTCCTCTCCGCGACAGCGCATCAGAATATGCAGCGACACTGTTGCCAAGAATGAGAAACCTTGCGCCCGAGCAGTTGTTGTTCCGCATGGTCTTCAGTGCGTGTTTGGGGTCCTGGATTATACTGAGAGGCCGGGCATTGTACGTCGGGAGATTGATGACAAGCGGTTCGAGCGCAAGTGAGGGAGCTGGATGCGGAACAATATATGTGATACAGGATGGTGAATTTGAGACTATGAGACATTGGAGCTTTCGCTCTGTCTCGGTGCCGTTGCACGCATACAATACAATATTGAGGCCGCATTCCAACAGGCCTGTGAGGATTTTGTCTGAGAGCTGAAACAGAGCCTCAGCACTCATGGAATTTGGGATCGCTTTCACGGCAGCAATGATTGAGGGTGCTCCAGGGAGCAGGACTTGAACAGTCCACACACGGACCTAGGACAGGGCAAGCATTATTACAGCAATGTTATGGGTTGAGTGACGTGGAAGGCCATAACTTTGTGGCTTTCTCGAGCTCCGCTGAGCGCAGAATCTCCTGCAGTTCTTGGGGATTAGCAATGGGCATAGGGTCACCCGTGTGACCGACTAAGAAGTGCTGGTCCGCCTGGCTGTCCCAGTACGTCCGCAGCGTGGCATGTAGCTTAGTGTCATCGCAGCTGATGCCTAGAGGGCCATTGTAATCTAAAGCCTTAAGCATATGTCGGACACAATCGTATGTTGCTGCACTTATTGTACTTGGAAAGCGAGGCATGGCTGCTTGTTTCATCCTACATTCAACCGGCTTGGTTTAGTTTCGGATTCGGAGCATGAAGAAAGGAAAACAAACTTGAAACTACGTGCACTATGAAGATTGAAATGTTGTGCCATAAACCTATACACACCTGGGCTCTCAATAAGAGCTATATGTGAGAATTTATCGAGACTAGGTGCATATTGCATATTTTGAAGTCCTTTGCCGGCTTGACTGCATTCACGTCCATCGACAATGGCTGCAAGCAAGCCATTGAACACGCGATGATCGTCATATTCGCCCTTGAGAACGCCCTTGACATAGCGAACGTAGATGGACTTCTGATTAACCTAGAGGTGTTTCATTTTAGTACGTGTCTCTCGCAAATGACAAAAAATTGCACCTCCTCAAATATATCCTGCAGCCCTAAGGCTTTTGCATAAACGATTGCCGATCCCTTGTCTCGATAGTGGGTGTTGAGATACTTCATATTCTTGTTCAAAGGGACTGGGTGAGAGCAGGAATGTTTGAACTGCTTTGTGTTTAGAATATCCTTGCAGGATCCACAAACGACTGGCCCATCAAAGTTGGAAGAGACATTGACTGTCTTTTGGCAGGTTTTTGCGAAGACGGCGTGCTCACTAGTGCGCAGCTCCCATATGTGGGAATGGTTTTGAAGTCGTTGAACTTCAGCCTTCTCTCCAGTCGTTAACACAGAGATTGATCAACCATATGTCTTCTGTGCAATGAGGTGCTCGCTCACGCCTCCTCCACTCTTCACGCCACGCTGCAGCAGGTTCAAGACGCCAGAAGCCATCTTGACAGCGATTCCAGTGCATGCGAGATTTGCATGCCAGTGTTCGATCTGACCATGAGTCTCGGAGGATAGTTTAATCAGAGTTACTCGCGGTGCCAACGCATCCTCCGGTGAGTCGCTTTTGAACCATGCATGCAAGGTTGACGAGTGCATCCTAGAATCCTTGGATCGACATCCTGCGACATGTTGGGCAAATTTTGTCACAAGATATGCCTTGCCTGTCCGGATCCATTTACCGCAGCGCGAATGGAAAACCTGCCATGATTCTCCTGTAGGGCGGAACTCTGCCATCAAATTGCAAGCTAAGCACTCGCCTTTCCATCTCTTTAGCTTGGCTTGATTAATGACAAACGTGCCCTCTACCATAGACTTCTTGAGCTTTCGGCTTTCAACTGCAGAACGGCTGATCCCAATGGGACCCATTATTGACCTGGGGGCTACTACTGGCATTGACAAAACTCCCATCATTTTGGGCACAAGAGGAGACTTGTTTTTGGTGAGATCCTCTTCCAAACCGATGTTGGATTTGACTAACAAAGTCTTCATTCGTTTGGCTGTCGGTGTTGTGAGGCTTGCAGTGGAGGATACTAGCGGCACATCTGAATCAACTTTGGACTGTGATCTCTTCCGTACGGCTGATGTGCCCCCCATAGCTCAAGGGACTTCGGCCCCACTATCATCTTGACCACTCTTGAATTTCTCCGTATCACTTGCTGACCTGTCAAGACCGAGATCGACTATCAAGACGGCTGTGTTGCTTTCCTGTATATTTGTGCCGACAATGACTGCGCCGCTTTCCTGTATATCTGTGCCGACGACAGCCATGCCGCTTTCTTGTATATCTGCGCTGACTTACATAGGAGACAACTGGAAGCTATTACCGGGCGCTGGCACAGGGGAAGACATAGCACCAACATTGGCGCTAGCAGGGACATCAATTGTCGGCATGGGATCCACGGTATGTTCAAGCACATTATCATTGTCTTGTAGCAAATCCAAAGGTCCGGTAGGAAAGAATCCGCACTCTTTCGGAGATTCTGTAGTCTAAATCAAACAGTGTAAGCATCTTTTTACCTCCTGACGGCAGGCTTTATATGCTCACGATGGAATCATTGTGGGATTTGGCTAGACGAATAAAGTAACGAATCCGCCAAGATTGACGCTTGGCATGTGTAAAGACCTCTGTGCCGAAAAGATGATGTTCAATAGTTTTGATTGTACAGACACCGCATGAGTTAGAGTCTTGCTGCTTCCCACAGGTGAGCATGTTTCCTGAATCACAAAATTGCAGCTTGAAAGCATGTTTCAACCATGCCTGCAGATTCCTCATGATCTGCCGCTCGGTCTTCGTGTTTGGCAAAGAATTCCCTGCAAGTATGACCATCAAGCTAAGTCCCATATATAGATCACTACACGCACCACATCTAATATGTTTCTGTGCAAAATCAACACAAACGGCAACCCAATGATTGCCTCCCATGAACGCGGCCATATAAAGATTCTTTCGACCATTGTCACAGATGTCTGTGGCATAGCGGCGCAACATTCTCGACTGATCCCAACTCTTCGTGGCGAATCAGCTGACTATCTGGTTATAGAAGTGCACAGGTACGACAAGTTCCGTCTCTTTGAGGGTTGAATGTGACCAGACCCGACGATGCAGATCCTGAAGTAGCATGTCGATGATCTCATCTCCCAGCCAGCTGTTCGAAAGGAGTGTCGTGAGGTCGCTCATGGTCCCTAAAGCGCCCGAAGCACAGAGTGGAGATCCCCAAGGAAGGGACATCATCAAGGTCTGTGCTCTTCTTGTCTCTTGTTGCACCTCGGCCTCAGTGTTCAATGTATTAGAGCGAGCAAGCCAATCGCACGCAGCCATCCAGAGTGTTCTATTTCTATGAATGACCGTGAGTTCTTGCCATAATGCAATTATTCACACCGGCCACTGAATGTCCTTGAAGAAAGGATCAACTACCGAGCAGACGGCTGTATTCTTGACGCGTGTGTAAGCAGTGTCAAGCTGGGAAAGCCATGGAGCTGGCGGGACTAGACAATCCTCAAGGACAATTCCAGCATAACCTCGAGCAGGGATCGTGCTGAAAGCATCGGAAGCCTTCATGAGGACCATGGCGGATGACTGACAGGGGAGGCTGCTGCAGTGGACGAGCTCGGTGATCGATAATTGTTGATGAGGGAGAATTTTTGTATAATCCAAAGGAATATCAAGTTGAGGATCCAGTGCCATGTCAGAGCTAGTGTCGGATGTGTGGAGGATAATTTCGGTCATTGTATCAAGCAAATAAAATGATACCAGACCGGTGCCAGATAATACTAATATTTGCATAGTAACACTGAGCTGACAAATAAGTCTACAGTGGCCTCTGACTAGTACAAGATTGTAAATCAAAAACAGGGAAGATATCTCAGGTGAACAGCTTTAGAAAGATGGTTGAACATGAAGAAAGATGAAGTAGAGACGAAGAGAGACGAGCGCGAGAGAAGCGCCTGTTCTACGTAACGAAAAAGTCGAAGCATTTTTGGGACTTCCTGGACCCGACTGGCCTTCTACTCCTTGAGCTAAAAAACTGCCGTGCCCGTGGCTCGAACCTCGTATCTTGCATACTCTTGTGTTCAAATCAAACTGGTCATTCTATTGCACTACAAGACCGATACAAAAGTTTGGACTCATCATCCATATTACTGCCAAAAGATCCGGACCCGGCATCAGCTTTTCTGCGACAATAGCCCAAAAAATCCAGACCACGGCACAGGCCTACCACCACAGCGTGGCATTTTGTCTGGACAGACTCTGGTTTTTAGGCCTTTTTTTCACAAATTTTCTCCGGATAGGGGGTCAGGCATACCCCCCTATTTTTGGGGGTCCTTGCTGCTGTCGGCTGAGAATGGGAAGACATGATATTGTGTGCTAGCGGAGGTCCAAGAATGTCGATGGGTCAGGCCGGTCAGGAGCAGATGGTAGGGAGTGGATAGCTAGGAGCAGGGAGGTTCTCCCTGGGTCTTTATACCTCTGGTCGTTGGCAGCCGGCACACGCTGTCTACTATCGATCGATGGCAAAGAGAAGACTGCAATTGAGACGTTGTGTTCTCATCATGCTTATCTGTACGTGTACTAGGGTTCCGTGAGTAATCCCTGAATTGCTAACATATTAATAACTTATGCTATTAACATTGTTATTCACACTGTTATTAACACTGTTATTATCAGGCCCCCTCCAGGGGAGCACAATGTTGATGCTAACAATGTTAATAATGTTCGAAATTGTATATAATGATCAGCATTTGAATTTACATTGAAATGTACATATTTGGGCAAGGGCCGGGTGGAAATATTGAAGGTTGTGGCTGTACAATTATGTCTTCCCTGTGAAATAATAATTTTGTCTAGGAGTGCAGAGTCTTAGACTGCATTGGTTCCTGCTCTGGACATCCTGTTACCCACTCCCCCCACTTGTGCCATGTCCACCAAGTCAAATGACATCAACTTTGAGACTGTTCTTACAGAACTGAATCACCTGCTAGTGGGCATACCTCCGGAATCAAATCTGCCTTTTGTGAAAAATTGTCAGGACTCACATCAGTAAACAGGCATATTTTCTTACCCAGCTTATTGTGCTTAGCGGGACTTGCATTGCTTGTGCAAGTGTCAATTGCATGCAGGACTGCTTTAAGCTGTCACAAGCATCCTGAGCTTGTGCAAGCTCAGTGTACTTACCAGCATGTCTAGTAAGTAGTCATAAGTACTAGGGCTCAGATTGTAAGTAGTATAAGGAATGCTACTTACTTAGTAAAAAACCTAAGAGTTCACTGCAATTGAGAAAGCACCATAAGGTATTTGGATTGTAACATGTTGGCATGCTCAAGAAAACAAATAATACAGACTACAATTGAAACAAGAGACTACAACTCATTGGCTCTGCTCAATGAATTTGACCTTGAGCCATTGCCACTTATACTTCAGAACGTGCAAGGCCACAAAAGGCAGTCCCTTGTGGTTGTTTGTCAGGATATGCAAATGGCATCCATCATCCATATAAATACAGACATGTACATAGTCCCTTCTATCTTGGAAGTGATGCATAGTGGTACTATGCATAAATGTCAATGTGCTGTCTGAAATGCATGCACAAGCAGACTCACTGAATACTCACTCATTCAATCTCTGCTGCTCTCACTCCTAGATACTTGAAGTATCAAGCAATGATACCCTTAACCTCATGTTTAGTTGTCTATTGATTGCGGTAGTGGTCTAGAAATGCCCAGTTGATGATTGGTCAATTTGGTTGTCCCATAAATAGGGAGTGTTTGAGTTTGTGTTGCTTGTGTCAATACATCTGTCGGATGCTTTGCTAATAACTCATACTTTAATCCAGGACTTGCTATGCTTGTTTCTTATATTTGAGTACAAGCAGTTGAGGTTTAAGGTCAAGGTTAGGGACATGCTTGGTTGGTAGTGGTGTGCCAGGTTTAAGGTTGTCATTGGTGTTCATTTGTGCTATGCTTCTTCTGTAATTTTCTTATAAGAAAAAACTGAATGGTAAGGCATAGATTATGCATCATCAGGTGTCCATAGCTATTCTATTCACTGCCTGCAGTAAAATGTCAGATACATTAAATAAAGATGTTGCTACCGGACATACCTAGTGTACCATCTCTGTCTATCTCTGTCTCCTATGAGTAGAAGCATATGGTGCATACTCTAATATTTTTCTCTATCCAGAACAAGATGTGGTACATGATTGTCCATGTTCCCTATGATGACATATTGTTCATGAGTACTTAATAGCTACAAGTCTCTTATGCCACAAAACTTAATCATTTTCTCCATGGATATGGGAAATTAGGAGGGGATTCCTTAGGAAGCCAGGCTCTCCCTGTAGCAGATCTTTAGATGATGACAAACATTGTCAGGTGATATATCTAGTAAATGGTTACTTACTGGAATTCTTCTGCCACCAAGCTTTTTGCATATACTGGGACACATTGAGAGCACTGAAACCTGCTAAATTGACAAGACTTGAGCATCTTAGGCTTCTCCAGATGCATATAGTATGTGCTACTGTTGGATATCAAGGTAAGGATTTGCTAAATCTTTCTTTCATGTCAATTCTCCTTGCACATCTGGAAAACCACCCCCTTGTATTAAGCTTTAATTAGCTATAATTCATGCTCTACTATACTAAATTATGAAAGATTAGGATTAGACATTTTTAGCTTACCCCCCCTCTAAACCTGTTCTAATTAGACATAATTTTGCTAAATTAGGAATTATTAGGATTGATTATAACTTGAAATTTCGGAAAAATCATAATAAATCAAGCATCACAGTTCTCATAGCCTTCTTATAGAGTCATGTCTATTAGAGCACTAGTTCAATACCTAAACACAGAATATACCTTATAACAAACTTGCCTTCTGCCAGAGTTAAACCAACAACCTCATATATGCAAGCACCTGGGACAGATGCTCTAAGCTACTAAGCCACAAGGTCTAATATATAAACTTGGTAATCAAAATAAGTAGACATAATATAGGCAACCTCAACATTTCTGATTTATTCAACATTTAGCATCTAGAAAAACACCCCCTTGTATTAGCTCCGGATTATATCTAATAGTGTCTAAAAGTAACCAAAAGTATTAATAGTATCTAAAAGTGTCTAATTTCCTAATTGGGAGCAACACATTGTGAACATTGGATTGGTTTCTAATTTCATGATATTAGCACTAATTCTATACTAAGAAGTCTCTAATTATTAGTAGGAAATAGTAAGTACTACTGCTCTATCAGTGAGAAGATAAAGATGTGGCACATTCTATACTATTTCAGCATATTACTCTCCTTCATATATGCCTATACCATTATCTTGTAGCTCTTTTGCTGACTTTCCAGCTGCTTTTATAAGGGATATAGAAAGAGAGAAATGTGCATTAATGCCCCCAGCCACTTTGTTGGCAGCTTGGCAGCTGCCACAAGAGGCTATGAAGACCTAGGTACCTTGTCCTTGCACACAAGATTATTAAAGTTGTCATTGTTAGCCAATGCCTGCTACTAGTCATTATAGGACACAACATGTGGGTTGGACTTAGGGATATGCTATATGCAGCCTTGTAGACCTTGTTTATTAGTACAGTGATGAATACTATCTTGTGCAGCACACAATCATCATCACTATTGATATTACAATTTTTAGCACTATTTATATTGTTTATTGCCTTGTTATACAGAAGATGCTCAAACTTGGTGTTTTTCTCTAGCTATTAGGCTGTGGAAAAGACAGTCATATTGGTATGTGGTGCCAGAATGATATATTTGCCTGCCATATAGGAAATATATGCATTAAGCATATTAAGATCACCTCCAACAATCTTGTGCTTATTTATATATAGGCATGCCATACATATACTCTTGTCCCCACCCTCTACCTCACTAGTGGCTATTTGGAAAACCCCTCTCTCTTATTGGATCTTGATTATTCATAATCATGTTTTTGATCAAATTTGCAAATTCAGGTAGCATTGTCTATACTAGTAGAGTCCCATTGAATATTACACTCAATCATAATTTTACACATTCTTAGTCCAAATTGTATAAGTGCCATAATTTATTTTTATCCTATATAAAGTGTATTATCAATTTTCCATTGGTTTATTATCTTCTTAGCTGGTGTTTAAAATAAATCCTGAAAGATCTGACTTTTTAGGTATTTATTGACCTATTTATTTATAAGATAGAGAAAAGATAAATGTTAAATAGAATCAGAAATGTTGAGGTTGCCTATATTATGTCTACTTATTTATATTACCAAGTTCATATCTTAGACTTTGTGGCTTAGTGGCTTAGTGTTACGAAATGCCTTGCTTATGTTTACCTACTTTTCTCACCTTCTTGATAAGGACTCGTAGGACCTTTCTCCCAACCATACCTCGTGTTCCTGCTCCATTGATACTTGGTCCATGCTCCTGTTTGTACGTATTTATAGATACTGCGGCGCAGGGTGGAAGCCTTAGGCTATCCACTTCTGTCCAATCTAAGGACTGCTGTTCACACAGTCTCCTCTGATTCCAAGGCATTAGTCTGATCAGTCCCGCAACTCCCTCTAACACTCTTCAGTATTGTTTGTGGCCTAGGATCTCCTCGTCTCGAACAGCCGTTCGTGACATCTGGATAGCCTCTCTTCACAAAAAATCCTACTCCGCCTTTTCCTTGCAGCAGAACATTGACTAGTTACATACGGCGTTAGGCAGTCCCAAAAGACAAGCGTCCGTCGACCATAATAGTTACTATACACTTCGAGCAAACGATTGGACGACTCCACTTTAGTGTGGGTCGTTTCAGGTTGTAGAATACTTCTATCTGGTAATCAACCCAGTGGAGGTACGACCAAAACAATTGCACTCAACGTTATGTACGGTACTATACCAGAAGCAGAAATACTGTACCCAGCTAGGAAGAGCTGCTGTTGCCTTGACCCTCGAACCTTGATCAGGTCGAGACTAGCGCGGGCCCTTTCATCTAACAAGACGACTTCCCAAGGTTTAGGAAGACACGTAGGGCGAGTTCCGCACAGAACCAACTACTTGAAACATTCAGACACATACGTCCATTTTGGACAACCTATCAGAAGAACCTCCAAAGGAAACTGGGTCTACGTGGGAGGACAGAATAGTGGAAGAACAGTTGACGCCCCGCTAGTACCCTGGGAAGATAGGAAAGCACCCCTCAGAACCGTTGACTCCCCCACCCGAACGAGACCCGTCTTATCACTAGTTGATATCCCCAGAGAAGATATCAAAGAAACCCCAATTCCCACAGGAGTATTGACCCCAGTCGACGAAGAAGACCTGGAACCTATAGCAGGACCGAGTCAACCAAATCCAAATCCAAATCCGAACCCACAACCGAACCCCTTACCAACCACAGGAACCACAGATGATGAGGATGAAATGTCAGACAAAGGAAACAAGCCAAAAGACTTTAATGGCACGAGGTCGAAATATAGAGAATAGATCTACGAATGTCACATGTACATTCTAACCAACCCAACCAAATACGACACCGACAAGGATAAAACCTTAAGGGTGTTATCATACATGAGAGAAGGAACGGCGTCACTCTTTGCCCAGAAATATTACTTCGACAGGGAACTTCGAGAATACAAAGCAACGGAAACAAAAAAAACATGGGGAACGTTTAAGGACTTCTTGAAAGAACTAGCCGCTGCATTCAAAGATGAAAGTCTCGAACAGAAGGCGAGACAGAAGTTATTCACAATGAGAATGGGAAAGCGATCAGCGGACGAGTTCGTCACGGACTACCTCATGATGGCAGGAGAAAGCAGATTTGATCTCGAATCCACTGTCGATTACTTCCGCCGAGCCATACACCTGGAAATTCTCAAACAAATCTATAGACTCCCTGATATGCCGACGACCATGGACGATTGGGTAAAATACACCCGAAGATTCGATAACCAATGGAGGGAACTACAGAGCATAAAAAGCTCCATACCCTTTGCTGCCGTTCGACCAAACAACCCCTTCCGTTACAACTCCTCTAACGCTCCATCGTCTATGAACAACTCTGTTGTCCCCATGGCCGTAGATACGGTCCGAACGACCCTCACAGACGAAGAGTGCAACCGCCTCAGAATGGAGGGTGGGTGCTTTTATTGTCACCAGAAAGGACACATGGCAAATCAATGCCCTGTCAGGGGTTCGTCTAGGGTATATGAAGGGTTAACTGGACATGTTCAACAGGGTAGTAGAACGGTGGGGAACCGCTCGGCTCAGGCCAGCAGCAGGATGGGAGGCGGAGGAAGCGGCTATGGCCGAGCGTTCTTGACAGGAACTCCAAGCAGTACTCAGGGAGGCACTACGATGCAAGGTAGAAGCATGGCGACAACTAACCTGTTCCGAGCCAGACTCGCAGCTCGCCAAGCCCACGCATCCAGACCGGATGCGCTTGTACGTGAGGAGGAGCCTGAGATTAGCCGAGAAGAGATCCAAAAGGTTATAGGAAAGATGAGATGGGACAAGCAGGAAGCACTCCTTCAGGAGTTGAACGAAATGAGCAAGCGGAAAGAGTCGGATTTTTAAATAGGCCTACAGCTCCGGTGTACCATAGACCTACTCCAAATTCCCCTGTAAAGACATTCATACGGCTTACCAAATCCAATCAGAAATCATCTATGAGGATAAACGTGCATCTAAAACATAAGAAGGGAACCACCAAAGCCCGAGTATTGATCGATTCAGGAGCAGAAGGGCTTCTCATTGACAAACAATTCTGTTTAAATAACAATATTTTTGAATATCGATGCAGAAAATCAACAAACCTATCCCTGTGTTTAACGTGGATGGAACAGCCAATGATGGAGGAAAAATCACCGACAAAGCCTGCCTGCTTATAAGAATGACAAACGAAGAAGGCGATTATCACGACAAATGATGTGAACTATTAGCTGCTAACCTAGGAGGAGAAAACGTAATCCTGGGAACGGATTGGCTACATGAACATAACCCGCAAATCAATTGGGTAAAGAACAGTCTTACGTTCTCCACCTGCGCCACCACATGTCTAGTCAGCCAATCTAAATTCACCATACAGGCGCTGGTACCCACCCAGTAAAGAAGAAACAGAACAGTTGGGTATTCCAGAATAGAAGATGATCTGGAAGAAGATGAAACTGAAGATACCTTCTTTTCCGAATTCTACGAAGAATGGTATTACCAAAATTTGCTAGAAGTACATCCCCTCAAAGCAATTCACATCAGCTCCATCGGAAACAAGTCACAATAACTAGCAGAAAAAGCGAACAAAACAAAAACGGAACGACCTATTGAGGAAATAGTCCTGGCATATGTTCTTAAACGATTCGCCAAAATCTTCAGCCAAGAAGCTTCGCAACGACTTCCAGAACATTCACAATGGGACCATAAAATCGACATGAAACCGGGATGGGAACCGACGGGATGTAAGCTATACCCCCTGACAGAAGAAAAAGAGGACCAGCTACACGAAATGCTTCAAGAACATTTGAAGCGAGGAACCATTAGAATATCCAAATCCCCGCAAGTGTCACCCTTCTTCTTCGTAAAAAAGAAGGAAGAAAGCTTATGGCCGGTTCAAGATTATCGGAAACTGAACGAGTGGACGATAAAAAACAAATACCCATTGCCCCTAATTGACGATGTAATAAGAACTATTGCCAAATCGAAAGCAAGGATCTTCTCCAAGTTCGACGTAAAATGGGGGTATAACAACATTCACATAGCAGAAGGTGACAAATGGAAGACAGCCTTCATGACTAAATTTGGCTTGTTTGAATGCCTTGTGATGTTCTTTGGTCTTTGCAATTCACCCGCCACTTTTCAAACTATAGTGAACATCATCTTCCATGATCTCATTGTTGCACAGGTCCTTGCAGTCTACATGGATGACATCTTGGTGTTTACAAAGACCATAGAAGAGCATAGACACGTAACGACCCAAGTCATGCAAATACTCTTGGACAACGATTTATTCCTGAAACCTTCCAAGTGCACCTTCGAGACAGACACAGTCGAATACCTCGGGTTCATCATTTCTGTGGATAATATATCCATGGACCTAGTCAAGGTCGATGGAATCGCCGCCTGGCCAACCCCGAAGAACCTGAAAGAAGTACAGTCCTTCCTTGGCTTTGGAAACTTCTACCGCAGATTCATCGAGGACTTTGCTACCACAGCCCGACCTCTCAACAACCTCACAAAGAAGGATGTACCATTTGAATGGACTCGCGAAAGGAACGAGGCCTTTGAACAGCTGAAACATTGCTTCACATCTACTCCCGTCCTTATTTACCCAGATGGTAATCGCCCATTCCGCCTTGAAACCGATGCATCGGACTTCGCTTCTGGCGCCATCCTATTGCAAGAAACGCCCAACGACGGATGGCACCCTGTTGCTTACCTGTCCAAATCTTTCAATGCGGCCGAGCGGAATTATGATATCTTCGATAAGGAGCTACTTGCTGTCATACACGCCCTCGATCACTGGCGCGTGTACCTCAAAGGTGCATGGCACCCATTTGAGATCTGGTCCGACCACAAGAACCTCCTGTACTTCTCTACTGCAAGAGCTCTTTCCCGCCGCCAAGCACGTTGGTCACTCTTCCTCTCCCACTTTGACTTCACCCTTGTCCACAAACCAGGCATTACCCACCGGCCCGATGCTCTGTCCAGGCGTCCAGACCTAAAAGAGGGGGTAAAATCTGACAACAAAGATCAGGTATTACTACAACCCCAAATGTTCATCAAAAGCGCAACAGGACGAGGAACAGTTAAAATACTTGACAGTCAGCTGAGACGAAAGTTAAAAGAAGTCACGGCCAAAGATAAAGAAGTAACGGACGCAATGGAGCTTATCAAAGCATCAGGACCCAGAGCACTCTCAAAAGGCTTACAAGAGTGGAATTACAAAGACGACCTCATCTGGCATAGAGGGAAAATATATGTTCCACCAGACGACGAACTTAAAAGACAAATCACAAAAATATATCACGATTCATCAGCAACTGGACATCCAGGAAGATGGAAAACCTATGTCCTAGTGTCAGACAACTTCTGGTGGCCAGGAATGTCCACATTCATAAAGGAATACGTAACAGGGTGCGCAACGTGTCAAAATACCAAAAACATTACGCACCCCACACGCACCCCGCTTATTCCAAACGAAATACCAGAAGGACCCTGGCAAACAGTCACAATGGACTTCATCACGGATCTTCCCCAAGTAGGACCGTATAACGCCATTCACGTGACAGTAGACAGAAGCACCAAGGGCGTTGTTTACACCCCATGTGATAAAACCATAGATGCTGAAGGAACCGCTGACCTCTATATGAAAAACATCTGGAAACGATACGGACTTCCAAGGAAGATTGTATCCAATAGAGGTCCACAATTTGCGGCCAGATTCACAAAGGAACTATGGAAAAAGCTAGGAGTAATGACAGCACTATCAACTGCCTACCACCCAGAAACAGATGGAGAAACAGAAAGAGTCAATCAAGAGCCAGAACATTACCTGCGAGCATTCTGCAACTACAAACAAACGAATTGGCCTGAATTATTGCCATATGCAGAATTTGCACACAATGTCAGGGAACATTCAGCAACTCACCAATCGCCATTTGAACTCATGTATGGCTATAATCCAACTTTTGTACCTCCGATCATGCCAAGATCTGACATCCCAGGCGTAGAACAAAGGTTGGAAAGGCTGGAACAATTACGACGAGAAATGAAGGCCAGCCTAGAAGTTGCAGCTGAACTAATGAAAAGGAAAACAGCCGAAAACGAAGTCAAATTAGAAGCAGGACAGAAAGTTTGGCTATCAGGAAAAAATATCACCACCACGCACCCGAAAGACAAACTAGCCCCGAAACTGCATAGACCATTCGAAATAGAAAGCAAACTAGGACCAGTGACATACAAATTAAAGCTCCTGCCAACATGGAAAATACACCCCGTATTCCACGCCTCGTTAATCTTACCCTATCAAGAAACAGCCGCACACAGCCCCAACTTCGAACAACCACCACCTGACCTCATAGACGGACAGGAGGAATACGAAGTCGAAGAGATTCTTGATAAGAGGAAACGAGGACGCGGGTATCAATACCTAATACATTGGAAAGGATACCCGAGCTCCGCGGATGAATGGGTCACAAGAGCAAACCTAGGGAATGCTAAAGAACTTTTAGAAGCATACAACGCGCAACGTCATAACCTACCACTACGAGCAGCTCTCGCAAACATCGAGCAAACAAAGTCCGAAACGTATAAAACCCCAAACTCAATCATTACAATTCCCTTGTCCCTTCAATCACTTATTCACCCCTCCAACAAGCATGTCTTCCAACGAGTCCATCTACCTCTCCTCTGAAGACACTCTCGTCGAACGACCTTACGAAGAGACACCCTCCATTGAGCCCTCTATTCCCTCGACTCCCAAGATGTCCATAGTAGAAGAACGGTCCGTACCATGGGACACAGACAAAGAACAGGCAGCGCGGGAAGCAGAAGAAGGATTTAGCAAGTATCTGGAGGGACTGGACAAGGACGAACGACGACAAGACGAGATGATCAGACGACTCACAGAGGACTTCAACAGACCCTCACCTTCCCGCTCTCCCTCCCCACTACCCCTTATCCGCACAGAGGGCACAGGGATCATATTTCCTGATAGAGAGACATACCTGACGACTCCGTCGCTTACATGATGGGACTCATCGAAGGAACACCAAACACTGAGTTTGTGTCAGGGCCCACACGACCAGAGATACAGAGAGCGTTGGAGATTTTGGAAGAGGAAAGGAGTTTTGTCCGACAAGCGCAAAGGGCTCTGCAGATTAGGGAAGGAATGCTCATCGCCCGTATCAATGCAGGTGAAAGGAGACTTATGGGTTTGAATCAAACTCCACACCTCCAAGACTCTTTTCATCCCGCTGACGACATCACCCCCATCACTGAATATCACATGCCTACCACGACTGTGGTATCTTGTGCCTCGTCTTCGGCCTCAAATGGAGCGCCGCTTCGCCCAATGCCGGGGGCTTATCCCACGGAACGCAGCAGGGGAAGGGATATTTATAGATTTGCACAGATTTCACCATGCTACCACGTCATACCCGCGCGACTGGGAGTAATCCACTCCTCTACCCAAACTCGACCTCCCCCCCCCTTCGTCGAATATGACTCCAGTGAGTCCGACACCCAGCCCATCGTCCTCCGCCCTCGAGGTGCCTGAAAAACGAGACAATGACGTCTGGTATGACGTAAAACTGCCGGGGCAAATGACGGTTCGAATCCGTTGGGCCGGTACCCACTGCCATGATGAGACGAGGGACTCGGTTCTAGAACGCAGTCCCCGCATGGTTGGTAACAAGGTGGGGTATCATGATGTCCGTACTCAAGGGCTATCGCATCATGGCTCGACTGTGGGCAGCGAGAATCTGTGCCCTAAGTATTATTTTGTACGACTCGATTTACACGCATTGCTTATGTTTTTCCTGGACTATTACTTACCGTCTCTGGCACTGACGGCCTAGAGGGGGGGGTAATGTTACAAAATGCCTTGCTTATGTTTACCTACTTTTCTCACCTTCTTGATAAGGACTCGTAGGACCTTTTTCCCAACCATACCTTGTGTTCCTGCTCCATTGATACTTGGTCCGTGCTCCTGTTTGTATGTATTTATAGATACTGCGGCGCAGGGTGGAAGCCTTAGGCTATCCACTTCTGTCCAATCTAAGGACTGCTGTTCACACAGTCTCCTCTGATTCCAAGGCATTAGTCTGATCAGTCCCGCAACTCCCTCTAACACTCTTCAGTATTGTTTGTGGCCTAGGATCTCCTCGTCTCGAACAGCTGTTTGTGACACTTAGAGCATCTGTCCTGGGTGCTTGCATACATAAGGTTGTTGGTTCAACTCTGGTAGAAGGCAAGTTTGTTATAAGGTATATTCTGTGTTTAGGTATTGAACTAGTTGTTACGACTGCTCGTCGGTAACCCCAAGAGTAGGAGGTTCTTCCCTAGGTCACTCGTGGAGGATGTGTGGAACGGTGGTCTCGACTGTACGTGTAGCACAGGAGCCTGGAGTGTATTGCAGAGTAGCAATAGAAAGTACTGTAGGAAGACAGTACTGAACGAAGGTTCCTGTATGTGGAGATACAGGGGAACGAAGTACTGTGGTAGGAAGACCACAGTGAACGAAGAGAATAGACTGAAGATCGTCAGCCTATTCTATGGGCCTTTTATACTACTTTAGGAGGTAGGGCGTGAGAATACCGAATATGTATCTGTAGGTATTCTCTAAGTCGTCTCTCTCAATAACGACTACTCTTGTGCTTCTCCGTTGGTCTCCTTCCGGCCAGGAGAGACTAGGAGGTTCATGCCCTGCGTGTGAGTAATTTATAAGGCGGCGTTCCATGCCCGCTAATACAATAGGCCCGTGATACTCGACCAACGATAAGGTGATCCGTTGGGAGTGGATGACCAAGGTTATTATCTGTACCTTGTCTGTACGCCTCAACCTGTGAGGCCGCGTGATATTTGTGATGATCGTATCGGTATAGACCGCCGTGTAGGCCCGATAGAACGTGATCATAACAATACCCCCTTTCTACGTCCTATTCGCCTGGTAGGACAGCGCTGTGCGCTTCATCGCCACTCCATATACGATTTGCTTTCTTGATTCAACGATGGTCTTCGGATGCGACTTCCGAGACATGACTTCGTTTTCTGGGAGGAAGACCGACTTACGTCGTTTGATCCTCTAGGAGTTGTCCATCTCCGTTGAGCTGTTTGTTTGTCGAGTCGTGAGGGTATCCAAGCCTCCGCTCTCTAGGATGTTCTTCCTTCACCCGTGGGATTGATTTTGCCGCTTGTCGCGGTCTTACTTCCAGCCCTCTTCTGGAACAGTATCAAGAAAGGCGTATGAATGCGAGTGGTGTGTGGATGAATAGAAACTCTAGCGTGTGGGTTCCGATTCGTGTCATCAGGTTCTTCTTCTTCCTTCTCCGAGGGCCAAACCTCAGTGTTTCCAGGATAGTCGTCTATCCTCATGATTTGTTGTTCCTCTTGACGACAGTGGATGGCGCCCATGGACAAGTAGGTTGATCGCTTTACGAAGGCTTAGGCCTACTTCTCCAGGCTACCAGTCATAACGCCCCAAGCAGTATCGCTCCCATACGGTGAGCTCATCTCCGGTGAGGTTGCAGCCAAATCCCAAGCAGTATTGTCCCCATACGGTGGACTCATCTCCGGTGAGGCAGTTTACGGCGTCCAGAGTTTGTTTTTCACAAACGTGGGCCTATGGTGGGGAATACCACGTGTAGTGTTGGGTTCGAGGCAAGGATGTGAAGAGAATTAGACTTGAAGGGTGCCGTGAGGAGTAAGGAGGAGTCTGACTCCTTCTCCTGATCGGCCCGTTCGCTTGCACGAATGGACATCAAGACCACAGCTGATATATTTGTCGGGTTGCGAGATATATCCACGACTGGCAGTTTAAAACGTCATGCGGGACGGTCCGTAGTTTATCGTCGTTTCGGACGATCCGTAGTTTATCGTCTTTGCGGACGTCCTTCATCATCAACATGGAATGCCTGTGGGGAAAGATGTTTCTGCACGCCGGAATTTCCATCGGTTGTGTGCATAGGGCCATAGACCAGACTTTACCCGCTCCAGATTCCACTGAGGCATGATGGACGGTTTATACTATATCAAACCGGATAACTTGTAACGCCTCAATGTTATGAGACCGCTCAGTTTAATGCCGTGAGGTAGGCATCCTCGCAGTTTAATGCCGTGCGATAGGCAGGCTTGCAGTTTAACGCCGTGCGATAGGCGGCTTGCAGTTTAACGCCGTGCGATAGGCGGACTATCGTCTGACTATGTCCCTCGAGTCACGATAGGCTTTTCCTCCGAGGATGAGGGTAGTTTAACGTCATCTCGGACGTTGTCGACACATTCTCGTCAAGGATGATGTCGACCGATGATCCCTGTACTGAAAGGGACGAGTAGTTTAACGTCGTTGCGGACGATTGATGACCCGGGTCTTGGTCAACAATCACAACTCCTGTTCGGTAAGGAGCACGTAGTTTAATGTCATTGCGGACCGATTGACACCATGGCGGTCAATCCACAACTCCTATACGGTAAGGAGCAAATAGTTTTGTGTCATTTGCGGACGATCCACCAGATTGATGAATCACAACTCCCATGCGATCGGGAGCGAGTAGTTTATCGTCATTGCGGACGCATTGGTGTCCAGGGGATTGGACGTCAATGACAACCCCTAGGTCCAGGGGCACTAGTTTAACGTCGTCGCGGACGCATGGTATCTTGTCAAGATCGCCACGCACGATCCCTAGAACGAAGGGACAGTAGTTTTACATCATTCCGGATGCCCGTAGTTTACCGTCGTTGCGGACGTCGATGCCATTGGCCTCGAACAATCCCTATGTGGAAAGGGACAATAGTTTAGCGTCATCGCGGACGTTGTTTCGCCACAAATATTGTGGAAAAACAATGCTTAGTTTAACGTCATCCCGGACGCTTCGTAGTTTATCGTCGTTGCGGACGAGACCTAGTTTTACGTCGTTTCGGACGAGACCTAGTTTTACGTCGTCGCGGACGATTGGCGGAATAGACTTCGGATGAGTGGCCCGCTCTTGTCGTTCTTCCGCTATGTGGGCCAGACGAGAGTCGCGTGATCTAGTCCCTTCCTACTAGATCTTTGACTCGAGGCACGTGTCCTAGTTGCCTCCTGACTAGGTCTTGGAGCGGAATTTCTTGTACTTCGACTCCAGGACTAGACTGAGCGCTCCATGAAGAGATGCTTGCTCTTCCATGTCCCCAGACCCCTCGCTTGGATTTGAACCAAGACGACCCGATATTCTTTTACCGAAAAGCGAGTGAATATCGGAAGCGCTTTTGACCTTTTATAGGCAGGGTTCTGTGACGCGAGTCCTTCCGCGCTTCGCCAGAATACAACCACGCTCCTTTGGTCAATGGTAGTTTAACGTCATCTCGGACGATGGGTAGTTTTCCGTCGTTTCGGACGAAGACTAGTTTAACGTCATTGCGGACCCTAGTAGTTTATAGTCGTTGCGGACCAAGCCTTTGGTAGTTTTACATCGTTCCGGATGTAATTTGTGGCCTCGCATCATTTAGGAAGACTTGTGAGGTAGAGGCGGCCCGCTCTCTACATCATCTCATGCGCCAGCTGTAGGATCCCCTAATGCGGAAACGATCCTGTAAAACGGGAGATCCAAAGTGGGACGTCCCAAAACACCAGTCAGACCTTGACTGTGAGGGTTCACGATACGAGTTATGCATCATAATTTCTTGACTCGGACTTGCAACCGGTTATGTATGGGCACTTCGCTGTACCAAGGCGAAGGGCCTGCTTGTCGACACCTACGAGTAGAGTATATGTCATGTAGAGGGTTCCCTAATGCGGAAAAAACCCTGTAAAACTGAGGATCCAAATGGGACGCTCGATGCATCTGTCAGATTAACTCCTTGACAGCGAGGATGTGAAAGGTTCCGCCGTAGGCTGTACGTGGAATTATGCCCGCTGTTGTCCTTGATTCGTACCATCATTTGAACCTAGGACTAATGGTCAGGTACTTCCCCTGCCTTCTTATCTTTTCACAGTTTTAAGACATGCAGGTCCGATAGTTTAGACGTCATTCCGGACGCGCGGTAGTTTAACGTCTCTTTCGGACGAGGTCGTACAGTTTAACGTCTTGGGGGACGATCCTAGTTTTACGTCGTTGCGGACGATTGTAGTTTTACATCGTTTCGGATGTAATTTTTGTCAGGGGAAGGAGTTCCTTAACTTCCTTACCCCCTTTCTTTTCCCTATGCCCTGTTATTAGTCCTTTTAATAATCAAAAGGTCCTTGATAATCCCCGCCGCCTTCGTCAGGTCGGTAGTAGGGGTCCGCCTCGTCGTAATTTCCTGGGTCGTCTAGAGCATCCCATGCGTCGAGCTCGGATCTAGTCCACGAGCTATTTCTTCGAGCCTCCGAATCAATGCGGCGAGTTCTGCGGCTACTTCGGTTATCCTCTCTTTCGTTCGTACGAAATCGAGCACTAGGAGGAGGCGATCTAGGCCGGTGTCGAACACTCCGGCCAGCAGTTGTTCCGCGTCCGAGGGTTGCCTGGCTTCCCCGACCTCGTCTTCCCTCATTTCTTCGATAGACGGGCGGTTCCTCCTCGTCGGTATTTCCTTGGGATAGGGGAAGACCTCGTACCCGGTGAGAGGGGGGAGTCGCGGTATGGCTATGCGCTGTAGGAACCTCTCGTTGTCTCGGTGGAGGGCGCTCCACGACCGTACGCGGAACCCTCCTTGGATTTGGTACAGACGTGGGATGTTCTCCGGGACGTGGTACGTTCCAAGTGACAACTCGGAAGGGGTCGGTTCTACTTGGCTGGACGTTTCCCAGTTCTCCTCCGAAGAGGAGAGCTGGAAGGAGCTCTCGGTTGACGTATTGGGAGAACTCGTCAGGGTGGATGAGGAGGGCTCGGGGTCGCCCGTCGTTGTGGGCGTACCAGGAGGCTGTGTCCGGGTCGGTTTGGAGGGCGAGCGCTCTGATCTGGAGACTGGCACTAGCCAGTCGTCGAGGTACGTCGCTATGTTCATTCCCGGGTTGTCCTGCCGAGAAGTTAGCGAGTCTTTGGAGGGCCATGGCTGTGGCCATTTGTATTACCGCGGAGATGGTGTTCCGCTGGAGGAGCGCGTCCGCGTGTCGCTCCAGTTCTCCGGTGTGAGGATCTGTACGAGGGGTAGGTCCTCCCATGGAGCTGGGAATCGGTCCACTAGTTGGTACTGGCGGAGGTGCAGTTTCTGATAGAACTGGTATTGGTTCAGCTTCTCCATGGCCTGGGAGTTGAGCTGCCGTTCTTGCTCGAAATCCCGAGGGACCTGCAACTCCACTAGGACGCGTGCCTTCACTAGGAGGTGGAACTCCCACTGGTAATGGGCCAGGGCTCGACTGGTTTCGGTCATCAGAACTTTCATGCCGTGGTGTACCTCGTGAGGCCCTCTCCGGTGAGGGTCTTCGGGTTCTTTCCCTTTCTTTGAACTTGGCATAGTCTTCGGCGTCGTCGTCGGAGAAGTTGTTGGTGTGAGGGGTGAGGAGGACCCCGGTAGATCCTGGTTGTTGAGGACTTGTTCCTCTATCAATTCGTCCAACATCTGGTCGGTGAGGACTTGTTCCTCTTTCCACTCGTTCGACATCTGGATTGGCGACCATAAGGACGACATCGGGGGAGGAGTTTCTGGATGGAGACGAAGCATCGTGGTCGTCGTGGAGGAGCATTCGAATGGGGGAAGGTGTTTGAGAGGGGAAGAAGGTGAGAAGATGTTTTGTTGGAGTCCTCTTGTCGCTCCTTTTATGATCTTTCGTCCCTCCTCTCAGGCTGTTCCCGGACGGGGTTTGTCTGGGTATTGGTCATGGAAATCTTTCATGGCTTCTTCCGCTGTTCCCTTTAGGAGAGTGTAGGGCTCCCAGGTGTTGTCTGCTTCGGGATATCCCATCCATTTGACCAAGTATTTGGTTCCCCGTCCTTGCCGTTTTGAATCCACGATCATTTCTACTTCGTAATGTTCTTCATCGTTCAATACCTCCGGTATTGGTCGCGCGAAGTTTTCTCCGTGGGCTTCGGTTTCTCTATATTTGGTGAGCACGGCGGCGTGGAACACCGGGTGGATTTTCCACTGCGGAGGAATTTGGAGTTTGTACGCCAGGGTTCCTACTTTTCCCAGTATCTTGAAGGGGCCATATCGCCTAGGGGCGAGCTTAAACTTAGGATGGGTTGTTCGGATATGGGTTCCTTCTAACCATACTTGGTCTCCTTCCTCCCATTGGGGAAGTTTCCTGTGAAAATCCCGGTTTTTGGCGTAATTGCTGGCTATTTGTAAGCTAGCAGCGGCTTCTTCCTGAACTTCTGTGATCGTCCTAATGCGTTCAGCTACCGCAGGTACCTTTGTCTCCAGTGCCGTGTCAGCTGAATAGGGGGGATTGAAACCGTATAGCACTTCGAAAGGGGATTTCCCGGTGGCCGAGTGTTTCCGTGTGTTGTGTGAGAATTCGGCGAACGGCAAAAGGTCTACCCAATTGTCCTGATGGTAGTTGCAGAACGTTCTCAGGAATTGCTCGATCTCCTGGTTTACTCGTTCCGTCTCTCCATCTGTTTGGGGATGATACGCCGTGCTGAGAGCGGCGGTGATTCCTAGCCGTTTCCAGAGTTCTCGGGTGAATTTGGCCGCAAATTGAGGGCCCCGATCGGACACTATTTTGGTCGGCAGTCCATGTCGATTGAAAACGTTATTTTGGAAAAGCACGGTTGTTTCTTCTGCCGTGATCGTTTTCTTGCATGGGGTGATGACTATGCCTTTTGACAGACCTTGATCCACTACCACGTTAATTGAGTCGAAACCTTTGCTTTCGGGTAGGTCCGTGACGAAATCCGTCGAGATGAATCGCCAGGGAACGTTGGTGGTTTCCAGAGGGTGGATAGGTGGGTGTGTCCTGTGTGTCAAATTCTTCGTAGATTGGCATATGGCGCATCCATCCACGTATTCATGGACGAATTTTGTCATGTTTTGCCACCAGTAGTGTCGTTGCACCATTTCCAATGTTTTTGCTCTACCCGGGTGTCCTACCGCGGGTGCATCATGATGTGTTTTGACGATGAGTCTTCGGATGACGTCATCTTTGGGGACGCATATGTGGCCGTTGCGTCTGGTGATTCCGTCCTCATATGTCCAATGTCCCAATAATCCTCTCATCCCTTGTGGTCCTACTCGTAAGAGTTTTGCAAGAGCTACTCTTGTTAAGGCGTCGTGTTCCGATTTCGAGTGTCGGATGAGGGAGATGAGGTTTGAAGAGGCAATTTCCGTGGATTTTATATGCCGTGTCGGGGACGGTTCTACCAATGTTTCGTCGGATTTGTTGAAAAGCTTGGCCGGGAGTAAAATTTGAGATTTGTTGTCAGATTCTACCCCCTCACTTAGATCTGGACGCCTGGACAGAGCATCAGAGTGATTTGTCGATCCTGCTTTATAGCTGAGTATAAAGTCGAATCTGCTCAAATAAAGGCTCCAACGGGCGTGTCGTCGTGATAGGTCTCGCGCCGTTTGGAAGTGTTCCAGGTTTTTATGATCTGTCCAAATCTCGAAGGGGTGTCGTGCGCCTTCGAGGTAGTGATTCCAATGTTCCAACGCTTTGATTATAGCCAAGAGTTCCCGGTCGTGAACGTCGTAATTTCGCTCTGCTGGTGAAAACGATCCAGAGAGGAAAGCGACTGGGTGCCAGTCACCATCTTTTCCTTCTTGTAGAAGGGTAGCCCCATAGGCGATTAGTGATGCGTCAGTTACTAGTCGATATGGGTGCATGGGATCTGGATAGTTCAAGACAGGTTTACTGATAAAAGCTTTCTTTAATCGGTCGAAAGCTTCTTGGCATTTTGTAGTCCAGTTCCATTTCTCGTCCTTTTTGGTGAGGTCGTGTAGGGGGCGCGCGATGAGTGAGAACTTGTCAATAAAGCGCCTGTAAAAATTCCCTAGACCCAGGAAGGAGCGAATGTCACGGACTGTTCGTGGGATTGGCCAATCTTTTATTGCGTCCACCTTTGAGTCCTCCATGGCGACATGGTCTTTTGAAATTGTATATCCCAGGTATTGGAGCTTTTCCTTGTAAAACTCGCATTTTTCGGGTTTCAAATATAGATCATTGTCGCGTAGGATTTGGAAAACCTGGTTTAGGATTTTGACGTGTTCCGCCATGGTTTTGGAGAAGACGAGGATGTCGTCCATATATACGGTTATCTTCCGGGCTGTGATGAGCTCTCTGAAGATCATGTTCATCATAGCTTGGAAGGTGGCTGGTGAGTTGGTCAGGCCGAAAAACATCACCGTGGGTTCGTAAGAACCTAACGGAGTGATGAAGCTCGCCTTCCACTCATCTCCTTCTTTGATGCGTATATTGTTGTATCCCCATCGCACGTCCAATTTGCTGAAAATGATGGCCCCTTTTATCACATCCAGTAGTTCCTGGATTAGTGGAAGGGGGCACACGTTCGGGATGGTGTGCGAATTTAAGTGGCGATAGTCCTGTACCGGGCGTAGTTTTCCATCCTTTTTTCCTATAAAGAAAAATGGGGCTGCTGTTTGCGAGGTGGATCGACGGATGGTTCCTCTCTCCAGATGTTCCTTGATGAATTTTCCTAATTCATCGTGTTTTTCTGGGCTCAGGGCGTAGATTTTGGGCACTTGAGGTTTGAAGGTTGGTTTTAAGTCAATGGCGTGATCCCAGTAAGTGTGTTCTGGGAGTCGCTGCGACTTTCGTTCGCTGAAGATGTCCAAAAATTCGTGATGCGCCTTGGGAACTCTTTCCTTTAGATTGGTGACGATGATTTCGTCTTCCAGGTCTTGGTCGAAGCTGGCAAATCCTGACGGTTCGGGGGCCAGTTTCCGAATAACTGGGTCCCGGGTGGCCTGTTTTCCTGAGGGTTTGTCTGGGAGATCAGGTTCTCCCTCGTTTGGTGAAAGAGATGGCTTGTCTTGCGCCTTTCGTTTCTCTTCTGCGTATTTCCTTATGTCCTTTAGGAGCCATTTCCTTTTGAGGTATGCTCGTAGTCGGACACCAAACGTTCCGCTGTGATCGCGGAGTCCTACATCTTCCGATAGTCTTCGGAGATGTTCGAGGCGCTGTTTCTCGCGCTCATTGATGCGTGGTTTGTGCCGTGGTTCCACGTCTGATAACCGCCTACTGTATGGCGGTTCTTCCCTTGCCCTAGTGAACCCATATGGTTGTTGGCATTTCTGGGGGCACCGATCAAAGTGCACTTCACGTCGCCTCCATTCGATGGAGGGATCGTGGTATTTCAACCAATCTGTTCCCAGGATAAGGTCGTCTTTTCCTAGATTGGAGATAAACATCTGGACGCGCTCGGTATGCGTTCGTCCACTGATGTCCCGAATGGTGAGGTTCACGTCCAAGGCGGATCGGATGAGACCTGCTTTGTTAATGGTGTCATCGACGTTCCGGACGCGAATGGGGTTGTTGAGTGTATAGGTGGGGAAACGATGTCTCTTGACCCAAGTTTCGTTTACTATAACCCCTTCGCAGGCCGAGTCGATGGTTGCTTTTGCTCCAGCGTTTTGACTCCTGTTTGATACTTTCACGTTCAGGCGTATGGGGGTGATGATACGGTCGTTCATTGCTCCGATACGAATACAAGTGCGGGCATCAAACTCGGGTCGTTCTTGACCTCTCTCCTTCGCTGGTGAGGGAGAGGTCAGGAAAAACGCTCCGCGTGTCCCAAGATTACTTCTCTGGCTTCATCTTCTCCTAATTCTCCGAGTACTGCTCCGATTCGAGCAGAATGACTGACGCCTCCGTCTCCCCGTCGTCCGTTAGGTAGCATAGTGCGCTGCCCATGGTTCGTCTGGGGTCGTCCGGATGGGGTAGAGTGAGGACGTTCCATCGAAGGACCAGGTTGTGGTACCCGCTGGTTGTTGCGATGAACATCCTCTGTCTCCATTCCTCGATATATTCCCGCTTGGTTTCCCATAGCGGGTGCGTCGTCTTCTCCCTCCAAATCAACCGCGCGGTTTCCTCTCCCTGTCGTACCCAAGCGTCTTTTCGAGTTTCCTCGAACTGGTGGAACGCCTCTACGAGCGGATCGGCAGTCAGCGCTATAATGTCCTCTGCGCCCGCAGTTATAACATTTTGGTTGCTTGCCGTCAAACTTTCTCTTTTGACTTTCGGCATTACGCTTCCTGGTGGCGTCGATGTCCATGTCTACCACCTGGTTATTCATTCTTCGAGGGGCGTTTGTGGAATTATAGCGGGGAGAGATTTGGTTATGGAAACGATTCAGATAATCGCTTCGAAAGGAGGTGGAGTTGGCGAGGATGGCCTTTTGAGCGGTTCTGGCTCGCAGTCGTCCATCTATTTCGCAGGCTGTATTGATCCAGTCCTGAATAGTATCCTTTGGCTGAACTTCCTTGTCATATATTTTGTCCATGACGCGCGGGTCTAACCCGCGTTGGAAGTAAGGGACCTGCTCTTTATCGGAGATGTCGGCATCGGCGGCGATGAGAATGAATTGGTTGGAGTATTCATCAACCGTCATTCGTCCTTGGGAGAAGGCCATGAGTGCGCTTCGCGCTTTGTCGGTTTTGCCCGTCTCCCTGAACTGTAATTTGAACTTGGCTAAAAAGTCCTTCCAGGTGCCTAGATCGGTAGGTGGGTCTGCTCCTACTGATTTGAGGAGGAAGTTCTCCGCCCAAGCTCCCGCCGTGCCGTATCTCATGCATGAGAGCACAAGGGATATCTTGTCTTGATCGGTCTTGTACCGATCGGATTCTGCTGCGAAAAGAAGGAGGCATTGGAGCATGAATTTCTGGGATTCAATGCGGTTGCCTGTGTAATTGTCTGGGAGTTTGACTTTTCCTCTTCCGGGTTGTACTGTCGCGGAAGGGGTGTTTGTAGAAGTCGAAGCTTGTCCCGACATTTCGGCGAGTGGTTCGTTTCGGGTGTTGATCGGTGTTTGGTCTGGTGAGTCGGAGTCTGATTCCGAGGTTGTTTCCTCTTGCTCCGAGTCTTCGGGGATTACCGGCGCCGGTTCCCTGTATTGTGGGGCTAGTTCCCACTGAGCTTCTGTTTCGTTCCAAATATCCTCTTCTACTGTTCCGTCTTCAAGTGTGAAGTAATAACGCCCGTTTCGGTATGAGCAGTTATCGTAATTCGGAGGGGCAGTTCCGTTGTTGTCTTCGTAGACCCAGAAGTCCCCTTCGCGCCGGATAGGGCGATTGTTGTGACGGAGTTGGTTATTGATAAGTCTAGTGCCGGGTGGGTATTCCTGGCCTAGGTCTTGCTCCAGAGTGTGTGCAGTAACGCTCTCTCAATGGGGGTCTATATCCCCACTGAGCAAGGTTATGAGAGAGAGTGTGGCAGCAAGCTAGTGCGAGCAAGGTAGGGGCAGAAGAGTCTATTCTAGTGTTACGACTGCTCGTCGGTAACCCCAAGAGTAGGAGGTTCTTCCCTAGGTCACTCGTGGAGGATGTGTGGAACGGTGGTCTCGACTGTACGTGTAGCACAGGAGCCTGGAGTGTATTGCAGAGTAGCAATAGAAAGTACTGTAGGAAGACAGTACTGAACGAAGGTTCCTGTATGTGGAGATACAGGGGAACGAAGTACTGTGGTAGGAAGACCACAGTGAACGAAGAGAATAGACTGAAGATCGTCAGCCTATTCTATGGGCCTTTTATACTACTTTAGGAGGTAGGGCGTGAGAATACCGAATATGTATCTGTAGGTATTCTCTAAGTCGTCTCTCTCAATAACGACTACTCTTGTGCTTCTCCGTTGGTCTCCTTCCGGCCAGGAGAGACTAGGAGGTTCATGCCCTGCGTGTGAGTAATTTATAAGGCGGCGTTCCATGCCCGCTAATACAATAGGCCCGTGATACTCGACCAACGATAAGGTGATCCGTTGGGAGTGGATGACCAAGGTTATTATCTGTACCTTGTCTGTACGCCTCAACCTGTGAGGCCGCGTGATATTTGTGATGATCGTATCGGTATAGACCGCCGTGTAGGCCCGATAGAACGTGATCATAACACTAGTGCTCTAATAGACATGACTCTATAAGAAGGCTATGAGAACTGTGATGCTTGATTTATTATGATTTTTCCGAAATTTCAAGTTATAATCAATCCTAATAATTCCTAATTTAGCAAAATTATGTCTAATTAGAACAGGTTTAGAAGGAGGGTAAGCTAAAAATGTCTAATCCTAATCGTTCTTAATTATGCATAAATAGAACTAATTAGAGCTTAATACAAAGGGGTGGTTTTCCAGATGGCCGCCTGCATGCCAGGCCCAAGGATCAGTTGATTTTGCCATTTGCCAACTGCATATTGAGGATGATTTTGGGGTCATAGATGAGCACCAATTCATTGCAAATGCCTTCTAACATGGCAATGACTTGGGAACCCAGGTCAATGATGCATTCAACCTCTTGCTGATGATTGACAAGGGGAACAATGGACCTTAGGGCAGACACTCTTTAGCAACTATCAATGGCTAAGGAACCTGACCAGGCTGTAGATTCTTCAGATACATTTTTTACATGTCAGGGATGATGATTGTGCCAGGCAGGGGTGTTTCCAGTTGGTGCAGGACATTGACGAAGGAGAAGATGGTTGGTCAAGTTGGCGGTTTGAGGTTGTCGATGGTGTAGGGTAAATCAGCATCTTTTTGCATTTTTAGCATCTATCTATAGAAGAATGATGGCATATGATACATTATTCAAATGCTGTGATACAGGGAAGTGTCCCAATACCACTCACAAGCTGAAATCTAACAGATAGCACCAATGTTGATTGAAATCTTTGAAGTCCAACAAATGTATTTCTTGATTTTTTGGTACTGTGGGAATCTTACATACTCTGCATTCCGGAAATGTGCTCTTAGTCAGCTTATTGATAGAGCACCTTATCTGCCCAGATCTGGCCATACACAGACATCTAGCCAGATATCCCCAGATGACCTAAGCATCTAGGAGCATCTGGGGCTCTGGGACTGGCTAGGACTGGTTACAGGTTTGCTGATGTTGAGCTCGGATTCTCTTATTCTCAGAGGTGTAGAAAGCAATGAGGGACTTATTGACTGACCAGTTTTGTGCCTTAATAGCCAAGAGAACTGCATTTATTTTGTCAAGATGCCGCTGTTGACAGCTTATAGGGGATGGCGAGGGGGTCAAGACAAGAGAGCGCTGCGCTGCGGTCGATGTGACGGCGCATCTAATCTATGCTGATCTCAGCAAAATATAATCTAATCATTATTGATCTATGGAAATCGTTGTCTTATCGTCTTTGATAACGGTCCGATAACGCCACCCTAGCTGATAACTACTTTGATCCGAGCCCCTCACGCGTTCGGCGTTCGGGAGGGGGTCGGTCGAGCCTAAGCTTCATACTGCGTTTTACAAGCGAAAACCATAACGTGTATTAAATGGCTCCTGATAAGGCAGCGATACCTAGTGCGCATATCATGCAGCAGTCAGGATAAACCCAGCACTCGCGGCCTCCGTGACTGCGTTATTAATCAAACCACCATCCGACCCCACTGTCACGTACAGCCGATTAGAAGCAGCACGAATCGAATACACGTTGGTGGCCGTCCCAATTTTTGGGCGGATGATAAAGACCTCCCAGCTGGAGGCCGTTCCGCGAATGGACGCCAGCGTGTAATTCCCTGACTGGTCCGCGGTCACAAACTGACTCGTCGACTTCAACTGCAAGGTTCCTCCGTTCGGCGCGAAGCCAGAGTTGAACACCGCAGCAGACGATCGGGAAGTCGAGGATGCGACGAGGTTGGTGTTGCTCGCGGAAGAGACGACGTATTTTCCGGAAGCGGCAGCTTGAATAGTGAAATTGCCCAACGGATTCGCGTAGGCTGAGGAGCAGATCGCTCCCCCGGATGGGTTTGGACGGGTCGACAGGAAGTAGAGCTGATTCGTGAACGTGTTGCCGGTGCCCCAACTTGTGAGAGATGAAGATAACTGGGCGGCGGTCTTCAGGTCATACTGGGAGTATGCGAGGTAGATCACGCTTTTCCAGTCGTCGCTGATCGTCGGATCGGCGATTTCGTCGGATGCGTACTGATACACGTTCTCCACCCAGGCCGCATCGTACATATTTTCGTTGACTGGAGTAACCGGGAGCATTTGGATGGCTGCAATCTCGACCTTCTGAGAACCCCAGAACCTGGCGCAGAACTCGTCAGGCATAGTTCATCGCCGGGGGACATAGACTGGAAACAGTCGCGACTCACAACCAAGCACCTGATTGCCAATCCTGGACGTTGCCAATGGTCACTAAACTGCGAATATCCGGGTCCGGGTAAGGCTGATCGCGGCCTGTAGAATTGGCCTCAGGGTACATGTGCCAGTACGTCTGAAGTTCATTATGATCAGTTGATTGACCATGAACATTCGACGAAGACTAACTTGAGCTGCGTGCTGCTCGGATGCGAGAAGCAAGCGAGCGTAGTTTTTGATATCGGTATCCCCGATGACAATAGCCCATAGCATTGCACCATAGTATGCATTAACGGCTTCTCCCACTGATTCCTGGTCGCGCGATCCGGCACCATTCGCGATGCCCGACGCTGTGAGCGCCATGAGATGGAAGCCATGACATACATATGCATTGGCAGCTTACCCCAAGAGTGGCCAGCGAACCAATCTCGGTGACGAGTGACGGGGAAATAAGGATCGGCGTTCGTGGGATTGATAATATCTCGAAGGAACCAATTGACATAGGTCTGATGTTGGCTCAACCAATTGTTATCATATCTGTATGGGTTTCGTTAGCCATCAGTATGACGTAGCCGCGAAATAAAAAGGGGCATACTTCGCAATCACCGCAGCACCTGTCAGAAAATATCCATAATGGAAATGGTGGTCGTTGTAATACCCGTTGCCGAAATCAACGTTCACGTTGTTATAACCTGCAGCATCAATGATACCACCCCATCCAGTTTCATAGGCGGGTAAGGTAGTTGAAGACGATAAAAACTGGTCATCACATCAGTCCGGACCGAAAATATATGACAGTCTCAGGCCCCAGCACTCACCCAGTATTCATAACTGGTTTCTAAGTAAGCAAGGACCGTGGGTATGAGGTCACTGCGACCGACCTCATCCGCGATCAAACTTGTCGTGGCAAGGCTTATTGTGAGCGATCTTCGGACAGAGCGACATTGTCTTGGATGCACTTACGCAAGTCGAGCCTTTGCAGCAATAGAACCACCCCAGTAATAAAAGTCTCCCGGCACGGGGGCGTCACCTAGATTTGCTATTTCATACTCCAAGCCTTGAATAATCGCCGCAGTACAAGAGCTATCCGGAGCTCTAGGTGCAGCAAAATCCATGGTCGGCAAGGCATATTCCAAATTCCAGATATTACCGAGAGCAGGGTACATGTACCCTTTCGTCGTGAGGTAATTCAGAGAGTCCGTCGACGGGAAGTTGGGTGACTGCATCGTGATCCTGAGGAGATGCTTTATCCATCGAGAATGACGTATTCGTGACCCTGAACAGACTTACCGATGATGAGGCCAAGTGAGCATCAGAAGGTCATCTGCGTTCCCAACTACGGTCCAGGTGAAACGCAGAACAGCAGTCGGGTCGCTAGAAGAAAACGAATAGTCTGTCTCAACAGCTGTCGCATAGTTTGCAACGTATTGATCTAGCAATGCCTCGTGCGACGCTTGATCTAGCTTTGCCACCCGTAGAACGCCTGTGAACGGTCTAGACGCCACAATTGTTCCTACACCATTGGAATTGGTGGCGTTGAAGGTGATGGGTCCAGAGAGCGAATAGATCAAATATGCCCCGACGTTATTGGACACCAGAAACTTTGTTCCAGAGACCATAGCTGTGATACGTTAGTGTCGGCATGTGCAGCCGTGGTCTCGCAGACGACGTACCACGGCTATTACTAGAAACTGACGTGTTACCGAGAGATGTGACAAACCCTGCCCCACTGAGAAAGCGGGGAGTCGCACTATTGAAAACGAATGTCAAATATGGCGAGCCCGGGACCATGTAGGCTGTCAATGTGCTTGATCCTGTGAAGTACTGCAGCGTGACCGATTGGGAATCCTATCAACAAACAAGAGGCCATCAGGACAGGATCATGCAGAGGTCAAGGAGTAAGGTCTGATTTACCCACGACAATGCTTTGTGGTCTTGCATGTTGCCCGAGTGCTCGACAAAGCCCACAGACCAATCTGTCTGAGTAGGCTGCTTGATCGACGTCCCATCAAATTGTCGGTCCGTCGAAATTCCAAACTGGATGCTATCGGCGGAAAGGCTGGATTCAAATGGAAAGGGTCCTGCACACATGCTACGTGACAGAATAAAAGGGACGTTAATAGACGAAGTCAAATTCGCCACATTAAAACCTACGCATCGCCTGCGCCTGCGCCATAGCCGGCCCACCAGCTGTTAGTAGGGAAGGGTGGCGAATGCCCTTGGAAAAAAGAGGTCGGAGGTTGGTCGTTGGCTACTGATCCACCTGCAGGGGCAGGCGCATCTATGGCGATGGGACCGAAGACGTTCGCATCCACACCGCCGACGAAGGCAGCGACAAGAGAAGAAAAAGCGAGAAACCTGGAAGAACGCATGACTCGAACCATCCACGAGCAGTGCACCACATAATGAAGGTAAGCTGGAGCTCTTTATAGACCTCGACTTCCATATTTTCATTCGCGATTCGAGATAAATGGCGCCCTATAGGGCTTGAAGCTCTATCTCCACAAGACTGAGAGTGCGATCGCGATCACGTTTGCCTAGATGAGGAGGTTCTGGGAGCAAAAGTGCCTGAAGTCAACTTTCCACAGGCTTCCAGAATACACAATCAAACGCGATCCGAGGTACTTACGATAGGCTGTTTCGCCAAGGATGTCATTTCAAGACCACTGGCAACCTTCCAGTTCAGATCCCCGCGGCTGATCATCCTCAATGAAGAGCTGTTTGACCCCCCAGAAATGAAAGCACCGTCGGGGGATAGGTACCTGCCGAATATAAGGCGAAAGAGAAGAGGGTGTAAGTTTAGTCTCAGATAGAATGAGGTTCTGTACACACCATGCATAGCTTCTGCAGTCCTGGAAGGGGATGCAAAAACTGCTTCGACTCGGGAACATCTATTGACGTCTCAGGTACGAATATGTCCGCGGGACCACAATATCTACTGCATCGATTGGACGGTGGTCACCGTATGGTCAGTTGGATCCTCGAGTGATCAACGTCAAGACAGACTGCACTGCAGTCCAACTGTGCAATCTGCAGAAGACTTCATTCGGACGTATCACCTGAGAAGGAAGGGTATCGTACGAGTCTTAGTATGACGCCTCTTCGCTTTCGAGACTAACCGCTGTGGTCACTTTGGAGGTGCTAAACAAGCAATGAGAGTTGTTGCAGGGTTCGTGAAGGGTGAACATAACGTCCTGCTCGAGCCGTTCATCACCGCGGCATCGAATAATAATAGCTTTCAACTTATAGGGACATCAAGGGACATCAATGCGTAGACAGGGCGGAAACACACCCAAAGAGAGATAACATAATAATCTCAGGGGAATTTTGCTGCGAATAGAGCGAAGCGAGCACTGGCTTATAACCGATGGCTATCTCCGCATCCAGCCCCTAGACATCCATAGAGCAGGGGGCAGAAGTCGCCACAACTTTGAGACGATACCCCCATAGAGTTGAACAGAGGGCCAAACCCAAATCATCAGGACGAAGGGATGAAAGCCAGACCGACAGAAGGGAAGCCTCGCGGCTAAAAACAGCAGGGCGAGCTAATCGACGTCCTGCCACATTCCAAGCTGTCAGAACAAACTGCTCATAAGGGAAAGTAATATGCGCGCTCACATTCGGCGACGATCATCACATGCCCCTCATATGCACGATCAAGTACATCACTATATCCAAAAGGTGCCGAAGTAGGAAATATGAGCTTCAGAGTGTATCGTCACGGCTTCTTGCACTGCGTGCAGCGGCGGGCGGTCGGAGCAGCTCACTTAGGAGCCCTGCTACTTGCTTCTTCGCTTCTTCTTTCTCTCGCTGTGTGACTTTGAACTCGGCGTCTCTGCGGTTGACAATTTGGGCTTCATCAGAAAGCAATAAGAGCAGCTTCATGGAGTGTATGATGGAAAGAAGTGAATTCGCCGCTCGGATCTATGCACATTATCTGGTCATTCCATGTCTAGAAAATGAGGCGACTGGATATGTGCGTACCATCGATTCTGCGCGAAATTGAGCCTGGAACGCTTCTTGCGCTATCCTGAACTTATCCTTGTCTCCGATCTACGCGCGAGTGCATGCCCTTCAGTGTTTGCCACCCTCATCTTCACGTGTGTAACTCACTGAGGCCAAGTTTACCAGGTCTACCATACCGTCGGCGAGCGTTTCTATTTCCACGTCAACTTTTTTGTTCCATTCCTCCTCGATGTTGTCCAGGTATTCATTGGAGGTCTGGTCAACAAATGGCTGTGACGGGGCCAGACGAGAGCGGAGGTTGGCTGTGGGGAGTGCGGAGGGACGTGGAACATCCGTCTGGGTAATGTCCGCCATTTTGAGAGCTCAATATGTCGACCAGTAATGCGTCTTTAATCAAAGATCCTATGGTATAATTGTGTGCATCAATAGCTCTGACCAGATTGAACGTCAACAGCGTTAGGGACAGCAGGGGACTGACTGATACAGCGTGACTCGAATGACATTGTATTGTCACGTTATGTCACGTTGCCGAGGCTGCCGAAGGAAACGGAAGTGACGACTGCTCATCGGAGCACTTTCCAAGTTCGATCCTCCAAGTCGCCGCCATAACTCCTCACTCTCCGTCTTTTCGGATTCGGCGGTTGTCAAAATCTTATGAATTTCTAGGTTATCTGCACCTGAGAAATACTCCTTCGCGCCGCGGACAGCTCCCACAGTCGGTAGCGCACACATCAGCACCATGTCTTCGGTCTTCTTCCGCTCGCTGTCCTCGCAGAAGACTGTGACTTACGGCTTGAATGCGTCTCGTAGACAGACGGAGGTACTGAGATATACGCATAGACACTTTACAACCATCCTTTCGCCTCACCCCGCTCGTCTGCGACCGCGTTATGCCTCATCTGCTGCTGCATTCCGGCATGCCAATGCTCGCGCGCTCTCATACACTGCCATCCCCAAATTTGTTCTCCGGGCATTCAGGGTGCCCATCGCAGGTGCCACAGTAGGCGCCGGGGGCTTTACATACGCCAATTACAAGTATGAAGGTAAGCAAATCTCGTGCGTGTTCCCATGCGTTAGCTATAGCCATCGCTTGCCAGAATTCAGGAAGAAGTCAGAAGGATGGATTAACTCCGTCAAGGATACCGCCACCGACGCTTTCGACACGGCATCAGACGGACTCAGGGCGGTGTCGGATCGTGTGTCCGAAGTCAAACTGCCCAAGTTCGAGACACCTCAATTTATTAAAGATTTATTCGCGTCGAAAGGAGAGCATGACCACCAAGAGGGATCGCATCATAAGGGAGGAGAGTCCTCACATGGCGGGCGACCAGATGGCGAAGACGCTGCAATCGCAGCGCTCGTGGCGGCGACGATGTCCTCGCCGTCGGATTCTACGGTCACGATCGAGGACACGGACGACTTCGTTTCAGACTCGCGGCAGAACGGGCTCATGCATCTGACCAAAAAGTTGATTGAAATCCGGAGCATGCTGCTGAGCATTGACCAGAGCGACGCGCTCAAGCTGCCGAGCATCGTGGTTATTGGCAGCCAAAGTTCAGGCAAGAGCTCGGTATTGGAGGCTATAGTTGGGCACGAGTTCCTCCCGAAGTGAGTCTCCCAGAATATTTCGATTATATATATTCTTATGTACCTCAGGGGGAATAATATGGTCACCCGCCGTCCTATCGAGTTGACACTCATCCACACCCCTGCAACAAACGGTTCCCAGGCAGTGGAATACGGTGAATTCCCTGCGCTCGGACTCGGCAAAGTCACAGACTTCGCACAGATTCAAAAGACCCTGACTGACCTCAACCTCGCTGTCCCCTCTTCTGAGGCAGTCTCGAACGAGCCGATAGACCTCCGCATATACAGCCCGTACGTCCCAGACTTGACCCTTATCGACCTCCCCGGATACGTGCAGATCGCGTCCCTGGACCAGCCCGAGTCTTTGAAAGAGAAGATCGCATCGCTCTGTGAAAGATATATCCGCGAGCCGAACATAATCCTCGCGGTTTGTGCCGCCGATGTCGATCTCGCCAACTCGCCCGCTCTCCGCGCGAGCCGGAAGGTTGACCCACTGGGTCTGCGCACCATTGGCGTCGTGACAAAAATGGACCTCGTCCCTGCGGATCAAGGTGCAGTCATCCTGTCCGGCAACAGGTACCCTCTGCATCTGGGCTATGTTGGCGTGGTGTGCAAGCCGTCAGGCAAGAAGGGTCGCCGTGAGACAACGAACGCAGTTACCCGCCGCGGGGACGACTTTTTCCGCGCCCACAAGGAACAGTTCTACGGTTCCTCGTCTCTCATGGTGGGTACCGACACTCTCCGAAAACGCCTCATGGACGTTCTCGAGTCCTCGATGGCCTCCTCTTTGCACGGCATCACGAATGCAGTGCAGTTGGAGCTCGAGGAGGCACAGTACCAGTTCAAGGTCCAGTATAACGACCGCCGCATCTCACCCGAGTCGTACGTTGCGGAGACGGTCGATGCGCTCAAGGCGCGGTTCAAGGAATTTACGCTGCAGTTCCGCAAGCCCGCCGTGCGCGCGAAGCTGAAGGGCATGTTGGACGATCGCGTGATGGACGTGCTGGAACAGCTGTACTGGAACGACAAGCGTGTCGGCGAGTTCACGGTCCTGGGCGCGGACACAAAGGTCAAGCCCGAGAACGTGGAGCCATACTGGAGATACAAGCTCGAAGCGGCCTCGTCACTGCTGACCAAGTCGGGTGTCGGGCGCGACGCGACGCTACTGGTGGCTGACGGTCTGCGGGCGCTAATCGACAGCATTGCAGCGGGCGAGCCGTTCACGTACCATCCGCAAGCGGCAGAGCGACTAGTGCAGTTCGCGCACATGATTCTGCGAGATCGGATACCGCTCACGGCGGACCAAGTAGAGAACTGCATCAAACCGTACAAATACGAGGTGGAGGTGGACCAGCGTGAGTGGGAGAACGGACGGAAGGATGCGGTAGACCTGTTCGAACGGGAGGTGGGGATGTGCGAGGGGAAGCTCAAGGAGCTACGAAAGAAGGTCGGCGGGAGCAGGCGCCTGAACAACCTGATGACGTATGTGCGGGACCTGCAAGAGAAGGACAAGGAGAGGAAAAAGAAGCGCCTCATAATGGCTGCGGCAGGCGACGAAGAGGACATTTCGCCCGTCGAGGAAGAATCCTACAAATACCCTCCAGGCCAGATCCTCGATGGTATGTCATGCATTCCGTCCGCGAGCGTGTCCTAGGTTTGATCCACGTTTGACAGCTCGGCACGCGACCCTGTACACTGATCGCCTGAGCATCCTCAAACTCCGCCTCGCCGCCCTCAAATCCAAACGGTGTCGTGCAGGCCCAGAGACTGACCTCCTCTGCCCAGAAGCCTTCTTGAACGTTGTCGCCGACAAGCTGGCGTACACGTCATCAATGTTCATTAACATCGAACTACTCGACCAGTTCTTCTATCAGTTCCCTCGGGAGGTCGACTCGAGACTGCTCTACAATCTCGACCGGAAAGAGATCGTAGATTTTGCGCGAGAAAACCCTGTGGTGCGGAAACATCTGGACTTGCAGGAGCGAAAGGACAAGCTCGAGGAGGTGCGTCACTCTTCCCGACGAGCTGGACGTCTTTCGTTGTTACTGACATTGGCGCGTGAATAGGTCATGAAACAGCTGAACAGCTTATCAACACTTCGCACTGACGCGCAGCCCACCCCTCGTCGTCCACGAGGACTGTTTGGTGGCATGTTCTGATTGTTTTTGTTTTCGACTTTTTTGACTTTCTCACACTTGGGTGGATTTTCTTACACGTTGTACATGTTCTTATATTCGGTGTTGTCGTTAATGTTACCCCACCTCTAAGCTTGGCGGATCGTAGGGACTACGGATGATCAGGACAAAGGTATACTTTTACGGCATAATACAAATAGAAATGCTGGTGTAGACCGTACAGATAGGGAGTGCGGTGAAAAATAGGTGCGGGTGTGTACAACTGGATCTATAGCTTGGCCTTCGTCTTCGCAGCCTGTACGTAGCGCCCCGACGAATCAGCGACCTACACGTCGCGCGGAATCAAGTGAGCGATGTACCTTGAGCACGCCGTCGAGCTTCGTCGCAAGCATCATGTTCCCCTTGGTCTTGAGCTTGCCCGTGAGGAACGCCTTCTGGCCGTCGAGCTTGCCCTCGGCGAGCGCGGCGAAGGTATCGTCGGACAGGAGGAGGGTCACGTCGGGCTTGGGCTTCGCCTCGCCCTGATACACCGTGCCCGCCTTCTTCATGTCGATCGTCCAGACGCCCTCGGCGCCCGCGGCGTTCTTGACTCGCAGCTCGAAGATGCCGTTCGTCTGTCATAGGTGAGCGACGGTGGGGTATTGAGCGCGCGCGTACGATTGGGCGGAGGAGGGGTGAGAGAGGGGTGGGGAAGGGGGAGGACAGACCTTGCGAATGAGCGCCTTTTTCTCTTCTTCTGAGTAGGCCTCGAAGACCTGCGCGAGGCCCGCGAGGATATCTGAGGTCTGTCGATCCACGAAACGCACGCCGGAGGTTCAGCCGCTCTTGATCAGTCTCGAGCGCTCCTATCTGAATAGGACGGTGCGCGCTTACCTTGAACCCGTCAACTTTGATGTCAGACATGGCGAGACGACGTGTTTACGGAAGGGTGACGAGTGTGGGGGTACGGGGTGTGGGGAGGATGCAGAAGCACTAAGTCCGAGACGCTTGGGGTGCGATGGATAAAATAGGTGCTGCATTGGCGCGCAGGTCTTTCATGTGATATCCTGGTCCACTAGGCCCCTCATCGCATCCGTATAATATCAGTGACCTAACGGTGATTTTCCGAACGGGGGCTATAGAGTATATTGCACGGAACAACGGAACATGTGGTACGATGTGCGATGGCGCGTGCCAAAGGTCGAACGCAATGGACGGGCCTGCTGCAGCCTGTTTCGCAAGCAGACAATGACGTCACATTTGAGTTTAGGCTGTCCGTGCTAAATCTGAATATACTGCTGCTGGTCAAACAAGATTTATGCTACCGGCGGACAACCTGCAAACGGCATCTATTCTCAAACGTGCATAGCGTCATACTGTGGCTCTCGATCGGACGAAGTTTGGATCTACATCAAACACAACCTGCTTCTGCCCTCCAGGTGCATGGGCGCGAAAGCGCGCCGTGGCCCTTCGACTGCCCCAAACGCATGGAGAACCCTATGAAACAAATGCACACTGAGCGATGCTGGTAGATCAGCAACACGAAAAGTGTCAACTTTATGCGGAGGTCGTGAAAAGCGACGCTATTGCAGACAATGTTGAGCCGAAGGCACACAGAATGCGTAAAATTCAGATGGGGATTGGACATGCCTAGGAGCGCAGAATGGAAGACCACAGCATAGGCCTCCATCTACGGTTGCGGCGGCATGAACGTCCAAGGCTGTCGGGCCAGCGAAGCATCATCGTTCTTGTAAACCATGAAGGCAATGACAAATTTACCAATACACGACAAGGTGAAGACGAAGATGAAAAGTAACGAACTGGATGCAAGCGATGCGCTTTTAAGCATCCCATACGCCTCTGTGCGCCCCTGCGCATGTACTCATACATAGAGGCCGCGTCATGGGGCGAAGTACAGTCCAGTTCTCCGCAGGTCGCAGAGCTCTAAATCAGGTCCTTGACCTGCAAGACAGAGGCTTCGCCCCCATTCGAAGCGAAGCTGGTCAGGCGGAGGACGTCACATTGCTTAGATTGCGGCTGGGCCCACCGTCGCGGAGCAGGTTTGCTGCTACCGCCATAGGATGCAAGGGTAGAGCGTGATGCGCAGATCCAAGCCAGCCAAGCAGTGCGCAGGAAACGTGTGCTGCGTGAGCGAGACAAGCGCAGGAGAGTCGCCGCGACAACGTGCGCGCCACCTGGCCAAGAAAGGCAGCCGGGTTGATTTGTCCATCAGGCGCTTTCTCCAGCCCCTTTCCGTCTTCAACTCAACAGACGCTTCCCATCCTCTCTCACTGCCATCCTCTATCTCTGCTCCCACCCTCGACGCCTCCTCTGACGACCCATCCCGAGGACCCCCACCCGCTCGCGCACACCACCTATGAAGTATATCGAGATTCCAGAGCTATCTCGCCTCGCGCAAGCCCTATCGCATGAGGGCCCCGAATGCTCCGTTCACACCCGCATAGAGGCCTACAGCTGCAAGAACATCAAGCGCGACAAGAAACTCTTCAAGTCCCTCGAGCACGCGTATAACGACGAGGTCTCCAACTCCCCCCCGGTCCCCTCCTTCATCGCCCTCGACCGCGAGGCCGAGATGACCCCCTTCGGCCCCATCGACAAGCACGCCTCCCGCAAGACCCTCTACCTCCTCATAGCCACCCTCAACATCGCCTTCCCCGACCACGAGTTCTCAGACGTCAAACCTGCTCACTTCAACAAGGAAGAGAGCGGCGCCGGCGTCCTCAATGCTCTCAGCACCACCCTCGTCGCCCCGCACCATGCGGGCATGCGGGCTCCGCGGACATACTCAGCCTACCCGCCCACCTCGTCCGAGTTCTTCCCTTCATCCCTCCCCACCTCCTCTTCCCCTCCCCAGTTCCTCCCGAGCCCTTTCGCCCCCCCGCAGATCGTCACCGGCACGCACCCGTCCCTCTATCGCATACTCGACGACGTTATTGGCCTCCCCGAGTGCGAAGTCTTCTCCTACGTCCCCGATATCGAGTCCGACCCGCACGCCAACGACTACTCCGACGACGAAGACGACATCGCGAGCGTCGGCGACTCGGACACGTCGTCGGACGAACCCGAGGAGACGTTTGCGTTTGACGACTACGACGTCGATGAGGCTGCTCGGCACCGCCCTGCGCACGGTTTGGGCGACCGCGCGCGGATCTCGAGCGACGACGACGTGCTGGGCCATGTACACGGGCGGCGCCACGGCGCGCTGCTGTGGAGCTCGCACTGGTTCTTCTTGAACCGCAAGCTCAAACGAATATTATTCGTGTCTGTGTGGGCGCGGACGCGCGGTCTCATGCACTACAGGGACGAGATGGAGGAGGAATATGGGAACGTGGAGAAGGTTGCGACGATCGGCGGCGAGCGCTTCTTGGGCTGGGAAGGCGCAATAGGCTTGGGGGCCCGCGCGATGGGGCTCAGTGCTTCTGTTTGATCACGATTGTCAATTATCAATGGTTCGTTCATGATTGTATATGTTTTTTGAATCTGTCCACTGACCTGGACATTATAGATGTTGGGCTTATCTTACCATCCATTCTCGGTCGAACATACCCTGTCCTTACTGCTGCTTTCTCCTCCCCACCGGCTTAATCGAACCTGTATCTATAGGTGTGGTGTTCCCCGTCTTGTCTACTTACCTTATTCCCCCCTGCGAAAGTAATGGACTGGGTGTCGTCTTTATCTGCCATCCTTTCTATCCTCCGTATTTTGAGCGTGGTGCCGCACTCCCTCCGCTGATTCTCTGTATTTGGCTATGGCGCAATGGATTATGCATATTTTAGCAACAGGGCTTGAGCATAGCGCCGTGGAGTCAATGTATAGCAGGATTGTTTGTAAACCGACCGATTGAGCCAGGTGGTGGTACATAGACAAGTGCCTTTCCTGCGCCGCGAGATCCGAGCTGCACAGGGCATCGGAAGAACAGGTCCGGACGCGCGGTTGGGTGGAAAATTCCCAACCAAAAGCCAGCCCTTGAGAGGAGGGCGAATGCTAGAGCAAAGATGGGTAAGTATCCAATTAGTGCACCAAGCCCTCGAATATAACAGTGCACCTGCAGAACCTTTGGTTTGTTTTCGGTCAAAATAAGAGGCTCAAAGAGTACAAGGGCTTTGTACTCGCCAGAAGCATGGTCTGTCCTCGCCTGCCAGGCCTCGCTCTATCTCCAGGGCGGGGAGAATGCAGCTGTCATACTGCACAAGTTATCCGATTTTTGGTGCAGGGGGAAGATGTGGGAGGATGTGGAAAGTAGAGGAGACGAGTCCGGACGAGTCATGGTAGGTCATGGTGCGCGGCGCGGCGCGTGCGGGACCTGTCAGAATACGTACTGGCTCGTGCATAGCACCCGCTTGTGGGTCAAGGCAGCCCTTATTTCGGGAGATTCAGCGTCGGACGAGGTGAGGCTGGCTGAATCTCAGTAGATTTCGCCGCGGAGCAGAGCAGTGGCAGAGCAGAGATGATTTTTTTTCGCAGAAATTCGGGCGGATCGATTCGTTCGCACGGTCGGTCCGTCGCGTGCGCGAGGAGATCTCGCGATCTCGGAGGGAGAGGCGGGCAGGTCATGTGATCGCGATGATATCACGCTGCGGCCAGTATGTAGAGGCGTGCTCTGTTCCTCCGTCTCTGGTATGTTGGGGACCACACGGTCGAGCAGGAAGCGAGGATATAACTGACAGTTCAATGGCTGAAAAGCCGTTTTCGGAAGCTTGAAGCTACAGAGTTTCAGACCAAGGACGTGACACTTGCGGCATCAGTGAGTTCGGCAGAATCCGAAATCCCCTGAGAGAGTGCGCATCCGGGCATGCTTCTCTGTTGGTGCTGCACTCCACCCATGGCGCAAGGCCGAGCAGCTCTTCTGCGTGAGGTACCAGAATAGCCCTCATAGGTCTCACCGACACAAGCTTCACGACTCCCCTTGGTCAGAGCACGTGCCGGAAGGCTTCATTTTCTCAAATCTCAGGCCTCTGGCCATCATACTACCATTTTATCTGGCAATGCACGCTGTTGACAGGCCCGGGGTAATGCACGTCTGTTTCTCCAAGGCTGGAGGTGAGTCGTCAACCCGAAACGGTTGGTTGATAATGCACAGCAAGTCCGTTGAATCGAAGGCAGGGTGCTTGCTTAAGTTCAACATTCTCGTGCTATATGGAGCCTGGACGCTTACTCGTAGGCGAGAGTTTGATGGAGGCTCGCAAACTTTTGCGCGGTGGATCGCTGATACTTGTTCTGCTTATTTGGGAATGACATCACTCGAACCCGAACATAAACTAGATGCGGGTCAGCGCGTGCACCCATGGCATGCGACTCCTTCCCGAACTGCTTCTGTTCTTGATCTGTGCAGCTACGCTAATCTTGTGTCTTATCGAATGATATGCATCGTTAGAAACTGTCTGCACATGCATCGCTTGCTTCGGCTACAGTTGGCATACCTCAATGTCGTCCCCTGTTCAAAAGCCATCCTGATGCGCCACTTTTATCTCACAACCTTTCAACATTTAGATCGTCTCGGCGCGACATAAATTAAGGGCTGCTACATCCATCTGACTCTCCCTGATTATCGAGCTAGGGTCCTCAAGCAGAATGTTCCATTCTCAGAGTAGGCCGAGGGTACGCCGGCATCATACTGATTCGAGACTGTGTTGCGTACCACCCGGCGACTCGAAATTGATCCCTGACCTTCTCCGCGAGCGGTATCTAGGGAGAGCAGCTGATGCAGTGACGGCCCATCGCAGCTGCACACTGGACATACTCGTCTACCTCAGGGCCAACACACCTTGTCTGCTTCGATCGGCAATGCACCTCAATCTTGCTTCATCATTCTGCTGCACGCGCATCCCATAGGCTAATAAAGGCGTTGTCGGCGTTGGCGCATGCTGAGGGCATATAAAGCCAGGTAGGCACTGCGAGTCTGGCCCAGTGTGCTCGCTCTCAACCAGCTTCCAAGATGTTCGTTCGGTTGACTTCGTTCCTTGTACTTCTCACATCTGCATCTTTGTCCTTTGGCTTCGACAATTCTCGCAACGATAATGTAAGCTTCTTGATATCTTTTTGTTCTTCAATACACATCATTCACACGTTCACTTGTTAGGTCGCCGTGTATGACTTCACATGCTGTCACCGCCAGTTCACCAGTTGACCGTTCGCTTCAGGTACTGGGGGCAGAACTCCTATGGCGCTACCCATACCAGTGACACCGCTAACTGGCAGCAGAAGCTGGCGTTTTACTGCCAGGTAGGTCACCTGCACGCCTCGCGATAACAATCTTAGAACACGTTGGCTCACCCGAACCAGGACGACAGCATCGACGCCTTCCCTATCGCATTTTTGAACGTGGCTTTCAGCACCGGTAACCTCCCATCGATAGACCTTGCCAATGTGAGTGTGCTCGGCTGCTGCTCTGCCTGCTGGTCTGACCGTGTGTGACCGATGAAGATATGCAACGTCAACGACGACCCCGTCTTTGCCGGGACCAACCTTCCCAACTGCTCTTTCCTCGCCTCAGACATTACCACGTGTCAGTCGAAGGGCAAGATCGTGACCATCAGCATTGGAGGTGCGACGGGAGCCGTCAGCTTCACGTCCCAGAGCCAAGCTCAAGGTTTCGCCGACACGATTTGGAACACGTTCCTTGGCGGTTCCAGCTCGACCAGACCCTTTGGTAGTGCCGTCCTGGATGGGTTCGTACCCTCCCTCGCCCCAGATTCCCAAAAGGTCTAATGTCATGGGTATTGTTGAAGTGTTGACCTCGACCTCGAAGGAGGCTCTTCATCCTTCTGGCCTGATTTTATCACTCAGATCAGGTCACATGCTAGCGGTGCCAGCAAGCAGTACGTGCTTCTATGGTCTTCATACGGCGTTTCCAACACAACCTGTTCAGGTACTATGTCACCGGTGCCCCGCAATGTCCCTTCCCTGATGCGTACATGGGATCGATCATCAACGCTGTCGGCTTCGATGCTGTCTACGTTCAGTTCTGTACGCAGAGATCTCGTTGCGGCCCTTTTCACTTTTTGATATCGATATATACCAGACAACAACTACTGCGGCCTCGGGAACTTCAACAATCCGAATGTAAGCAGCGCCACGTCTCACTAACGACAAACCTAATCATGCTCTTCGTCAGGACTGGAATTTCGACCAATGGTACAGAGTCATCCTAGCTAGTGCGTCGTGCGCCCACTGAAGAGCCTTCTCTAGGGATACGTGGGCAAAGACCGTCTCCCCGAACCCGAACGTGAAAGTTTATATCGGCGCACCGGCCTCGAGCACAGCCGCAGGCTCCGGATACGTTGACGTCGGCACGCTCGGAAGCATCGCACAGGCCACCCGGAACCAATACTCCTCTTTCGGCGGCGTGATGCTTTGGGACGCCTCGCAAGCCTATGGTTCGTCATCCCATATCTTGTTCTGCTCGGAAGGAAGCGTGCTTATCATCGACGGGTCTTGACTGTTGATAGAGAATGGCCGGTACGATGCTGCGATCAAGCAGGCGCTTGCTAGCGGAGGTTCTGGTGGCTCGACTACGACCTCGACGACAAGTACAACTATGACTACAACGTCCAAGCCGGCAACGACTTCGACTTCGACTTCTTCTGCTCCTTCGACGACGACCACTGCACCCTCGAGCGGGAGCTGTGGCGTCGTCGCCGCTTGGCAGAGAAACATTGCTGTAATTACCTTCTCTGCTCCTTGTTCGGCTACGTTTCTGACTCGATTGGTCTTGTGAAGTATCAGGGTGGAGACCAAGTGACCTACAAGTGAGTACCATCGATCCACGCGGAGGGCTTCTGCGACGATGCTCAACGACCTCCAGCGGCCATCTATGGACCGCCAAGTGGTGGAGCTACGGCGACGTCCCCGGAGGTAAGCTCTCTTTCGCGCACATCCACGGCACGTCCGATGGGCTCGTGACTTCGTGGCAGCTCACGCTTCGTCCGCAGGCACAGCCGGAGACTGGACGGACGACGGCCCCTGCGCGTCTGTCAAAGTCGCCAAAACGAACTACAGGACCGCGGTCGCCCACGCGTCCATCCCCACCACCGCGCAGACCGGCCCTGCGCCTGTCCCCACCATCGTCGTCACCTGATCGATGCACCCCAAGCAGAGCCCGAGCCCGCCCAAAGGCGCGGGCGGAGCGGCCGTTTTGCGCTTTCGGTGGATTAGATCCCCATTCCTTCCTATGTATTATTATTTCTCGAGGTCCTGTGGGCCTGGGCTATGTATTTTATCATTAAGCGCCACTGCTACGATCTTATCTGATAAGATAGACATCGATCGCATGTCGGAACCTGACGGAACTTTATGCAGTTCACACTTCGGTCGATGGAGTGTAGTCTTCTAGAATTGCGCGCGCTTGAGGATCGTTTGAGGAAGGGAGAAGCAGGGGGCGCACACGCCGGCAGCAAAGGGTGCAGGTGAGAAGCGTGCCGGTGCATCGTGCACGATCGCAAAGATCATCTTCCAGACGCCGACATTGGTCGCAGCTGCACAACATTGGAAAGCGCCAGTCCCAGTATATACCGGTAGCGCCTAGGCCCGCCAAGAGCGGAAGCAATATGGTCCTTGAGGAGCAGTGGGCCGTACAAAAATGGGAACTCGCAGACGCCCCGAGTGTGATTGGCACCCACCTGGCAACTTAGTGAGGGGTGTACGATCTTGTGCCATTGGCGGTGGCATGTATGCAGCTTGGAACTCCAGAAAGTCGACGTACCGAAACGGGCGTGTTCTATCGTGTCTTCTGATCGCGATCTCTTATGAACTGTCGTCTGCTCGTTGTGTAACTAAATTCAAAACGAGCGCGGCCGTGGGCGTTCCGAGCGAGCAATGACTAGCTAGCTGCATTTGGCGGTACTTTGCAAGCGACGAGTGATATATTATATTAAGTGGTACAGTAGTATACATCGTGCAGGGAATGTTAACAGAACAGTTGAGCGAGAACGACAGGACAGCAGCACTAGGAACCGTGAACCACAAAACGAGAGGAATCTGGCGGATGACCGAGACAGCGACAAGTACATGGATGGGAGGTATATATGCGACCGGACAGTTCCAGTCAAGACTGGTGGATGCGAGGAGAAAATCAAAAGCTAGACTCGACCATGATGAGCGGGGGAAATGGATGGCTTCGGGTCTTCGCACGGACGACAGCGGTGCAGCGTCCATGCGGGGGTCCTGAAGCCGGCAGTAGATCGAAGTTCACGGGCGGAGAATCATGCGTAAAACATGCGGTTCACAAGCATAGGATACGATCTAGCGCCGGTGGATCGTGCTGGTACGTGTCACAAAAAGGGAGGGACTTGTGAGGCTAAGAGTAGGCGTGAGAACGTTTCGTAGGATAGATCTAGGGCGGACTTTGGCTCACTTGAGAATGAAAGCGGAAAGGAACGAGAATGCGTGTGCTTGCCCAGGGCTCAAGCTCCAAAGCGACGGATATAGCATGTCACAGCAGCTCTTTCACGCTCTCCAGCAGCACCTTCGGCTTGAGCAGCAACGTGCTCTCCAGCATATCATCCCTCGCATCGGCGTTGCTCGCCCCCTTGACCTCTCGTCCCTTCCACGCATCCCCAGCCCCGTTCACACTCGCCTGAGGCCGCTTCTTCACCAACGACAAGCCAAACTCGACCGAACACAGCACCCTCGACCGCTCATTACCATGCCCAGCATACACGTTCTCCATCAGCGCGGGATCGAACATACGCCGCCACGGTTCCCGGTCTTCAGCGCTCTCCTTCTCTTTTTCCTTCCATTGCGCGGTCGCCAGCCCATCCACCCCGACCTCGTTCCCGACGCTCCGGCTCCGGACATTCCGGCCTGGCTCGGGCGCGCTCTCGACTAGCACCTCGAACCAGGCGCTCCCGACCCCCTCCCTGATCATCCTGGAGAGCGTCTCAGCGCGGTCTGCGACATGTGTCACCTGATCGCCGAAGCGCGCGCGCAGCGGCTCGCGATGGATCCCGCGCTCGTCCGTGCACCCCGAGAGGGCCAGTATGGCCAGGAGGCCGCGGATGTTGCTCGATATGTGCGATGACGTCGCGGTCGAGAGTGAATAGGCAGACGAGTTGGAGTGCGTGCGACTGTGGGGTGGGGGAAGGGCATATATTTGGGAGGCTGGCGTGTTGTTAAGGGTTGACTGGGGCGTTGGGTAGGGCGGCGGGAAGAGGGGAGACGTGGGGGCAGATGAGGAGCTGGAGCTGGAGTATGCAGGCACTTTGACGGTGGGATAGGCAGGGGCAGGTTCGCGAGGGTAAGTTGACAAAACCGTGCGCGCGTGAGTATGGGTGAGGGCACGCCAGCGTGATGTCGTGGGTTGGGGTTCTGCGGAGAATATGAGAGACTGCGATTGCGGTGAGCGGTGTTCATCACATACCGACGAGTTGCATTTCGCGGAAGACTTCGTTCAGGAACTTGCTGATCTCTGGGGGAAGCCCGAAGCAAAAAGAGTCTAGGATCTGTTTACAACACCACGTTTCCCAAGCTTGAACGGCCAGCTGGACGACCGTCGGATCGCCGTTGTGATCGCACTCCCGCAACAATTCCAGCATGCCCTCGCCGATCGAGTTGCGGACGATATCGAAATCCGACTCCTTCGACAGATCGCCCTTCTGCCGATCTAGAGGGAACTCCTCGCTGACGACAGCAGCGAGCTGCACGATCTCCGTGTTGAGATCTTGCACGGCTTGAAGGATCTGGGCGCCGGTGTAGTCGTCCGTTTTGTTCAGGAAGGATTTGAGCGTCGCGAGCTCCTCATTGTGGGTCTCGAGGGTGCGCATGGAGGCAGAGACGTCAGCGTAGGAAGCGCGGAGTTGTTGCATCTCGGAGAAACGCGTGCGGCGCGCGTTGCGAGCCTGTTCGAGCTCGCTCTCCATGCGGTTGTTCTGGGAGAGCAGGTGGGAGTTGGAGGACCTCTGGAATTGGAGCTCGTCTTTGGTCGAGGACAGGTCGGACTGGAGGTCCACGAGCTGGTGGTGCAACGTGTGCACCTGGGTCTTAAGGTCCTCGAGTTCCTTTTTGTGGCGCCCCTCGTCTTCGTCCGTTCGAGCCTCGCCACGACCGTTGGGGTCCCATCTGTGGCGGTTCTGGTTGTAAGTGGCGGGGTGGTCGTCCATGACGGGTATCCGATCATGGCGCTGCCCCTGGGGCTGGGGGCTGGCGGGGAAGTACGTGTTTGTGGTGGGGAGCTCGTAGGTGTCGTCGTCGTAGGTGTCGTAGTCGGACGCAGAGTCCTCGAGGTCGTTGTAGATGCGGATCGAGGGGAGATAGTGGGAAATCAGGCTCCAAAAAGAGTTCATTGTCGAATTTGTCGTGTAGGACGGCCTCAGGAGAGTCAGACCGGCGGCGGGCCGCGGGGCATGGACTAGGGCGTGAGCGATAGAGCGCGGGGTAATACAGTAGTGAGCGATACGAGCAGGCGAGGGGTTGACGCAATCTGGGGGAGGGCGGACGTGTGTCAGCTATCAAGGAGATAAATCAGAAAATCGGGGACATGGGAGACGTTCGCAGCTAGCGCAGACAGCCCCAGACAGCCCTGCGCGTCCTCGCTGCCTCGCACACACAACGTGTTTGCGCCTTCCGCGTGGGAACAGCACCTCCGCACCCCACGCTCCCCTTCCTGTCCAGCCGTCCTCCAGTGCTCCACCAGCACCGAACACAGAGCACAAGCCGTCCTGTGCATACTCCAGCACCAGCCGCCATGGCACCGGTAGGCCTCTCGCATCGACGTCTGCCCTCATCGTTCCAGATCAAACGCTCGACGGCCTTATGTTTCTTCGCAGGCTGATAGAGCCATCATGGATAGAGGTGATCTCGACATTGTGCCGCTGAGACAACGCCATTTCTTAAATAGTCTCGCTGTACCGCATTCTGTCCACAAACTCCCAGTTGAATTACTCGATTACATTCTCATCGAGTGCGCCGTACAACCACCGGGTACTGATCCCAAAAAAACTCATTGGTCGCGTCCCTACTCTCCAGATTGGATCAGCATCACTCACGTCTGCCGTCGGTGGCGCCAGATTGCCCTCAACTGCCCTTGTCTCTAGACACATATCACCGCGAATCTCGCTCGAGTCCAAAGCCAATGATTGTTGAGATCAGCGCAACCTACATAATCAACGGTATTTTCCAAAAGCATCTGTCCACCAATCCTTTGCGGCTGAGAGAGCTCTATCTGGGGTATGGGGTCGATGACAACGACGAGGAGAGAATTTACGAGAGCACGCAACATCTTGCCACGATCCTGTCAACCCTGGCACCATTCCTCGAAACCCTTGTTCTCGAGTTTAATTGGATTTGCTTGGAAGAAGATCTGTGTGCTGAATACACACCTCAGTTACACTGACTATTGCTTCGTAATTGTGGATTTGTGCCACCCACTTCATCCCTCTTGTTCAACCTCCGTGATCTCAGTCTAGAAAATGTGGAAGGCTTTCATGATATATATAAGGTGCTCCAATGGACTCCTTTGCTAGAAGCCCTCTACATGTGCCATTTCCACAAAATGAAAGAACCAAATGACAGTGTCATTTGGCTTTCACATCTCTCTCACTTCTACTTTTATCCAAACTTGCTTGCTGCTGCCACATGCTTATTTGAATTGTTGGAAATTCCTCCTATAGCTCATCTTAAAATATCTCTTAGTGATGACACAGAACAAGAACCCCAAGATAAATAGTCTTGTATGGTTGATATAATTGGTGGCCACCTTTGGTCCAATGTCAGAGAGACTTCTGCCCCATTGGTATAGCTAGATTTGAACATTATATACCACCCTTGGACAATCAAATGCCAACGGAAAACCCATTAACGCTTTACTAGTAGCCTGGGAAAATAGGAAAGCACCTCTCAGAACAGTCACAACCCCGACCCGAACTAAAACTGCACTACCCCCGATTGATATCCTCAAGGGAAACACACCAGTTGACATCCCTAAAGAAGACATCAAAGAGGAAGTCATCCCGACAGGAGTATTAACCCCTGTAGATAAAGAAGACCCAGAACCCACACCAGGACTGAGTAACCCGAGATGCCCAGACCCAAACCCGGATCCAACACCAAGTACAGAAGCAACAAACATGAATGACAAAATGTCATCAAATAAAAGAAACAAACCAAAAGACTTTGATGGAACCAGGTCCAAATACCGAGAATGGATCTACGAGTGCCATATGGACATCCTGGCCAACCCAATCAAGTACACAACAGACATGGACAAAATCTGGATGGTACTATTGTACATGAGGGAAGGAACGGCCTCACTGTTCGCCCAAAAATACTATTTCAACAGGGAACTCCAAGAGTACAAGGCAATGGAGACCAAGCTGACATGGGGAACATTCAAAGAATTCCTAAAGGAATTAGCTGCCACATTCAAAGATGAAAGTCTAGAACAGAAGGCATAACAAAAACTGTTTACCATGAGGATGGGAAAACGCTCAGCAGATGAATTCATCACAGACTATCTCATGACTGCCGGAGACAGTGGATTTGACCTAGAATCCACTGTTGACTACTTCCACCAAGCCATACACCTGGAAATCCTCAAACAAATCTATAGACTAACAGAAATGCCGACTACAATGAATGACTGGGTAAAATACACCCAAAGATTTGACAACCAGTGGAGAGAGCTCCAGAGCATAAAAAGCTCTGTCCCCACCATGATGCCCCGTCGCAACAACCCCTTCCGCTACGACTCTTCCAATGCTCCTGCCTCCATGAATAATTCAATTGTACCCATGGCTATAGATGCTGTCCACACTCCCCTCACTGATGATGAACAAGCTAGGCTATGAGCTGAGGGTGGGTGTTTTTATTGCCAACAAAAAGGACATATGGCAAACCAATGCCCTGCTAGGGCTTTGTCTAGGGTATATGAAGAGGGAATTGGATATGTTCAACCAGGTGGTGGGAAAGTGGGGTACCACCTGGCTCAAGCTAGCAGAGCATTGGCTAGCCGAGGAGGAAGCTATGGCAGAGCACTCCTAGCAAGAGCTCAGATTAGTGGCGAGACAGCAACTCTGGGTGGAAGTGGGGGTGTAGTGATGACTAACCCATTCCGGTGATGAGCATGCACCCGCGCTAGGGTCCGAGGGAGGTATTCGGGAAGCTTTGGGGAGATACCGAACAGCACTCGACAAGTACCGAAGACGCCGACTTTTACCGAACACGATCGGTCCCTACCCGACCGACGACAAGCCACCGAAGGACGTTCGGCAGCACTTGGGTCAGTTTGCCCACACTTCACGTACTTACCATGACCGCATAGGAGTGTTACGATAAGTGTTTACGAGATCGGAGCCAGTATTCCGTATCAGCCGATGTCCTCCATGAGTCGGTCGGTCCTTATCGCTTATCTTCCTGACTTCCGCATGGTCGGTCAAACGCGATCTTGCACCATTGCTTGGCCACCCTGGTCGTACGATACCTCTTCTTTATTTTTCATTGGCTCTCCAACGCCTGTTCCTGCTACCTACGCTCGGGTGACGGATCCCGAACGTTCGGGATTTCGACATCACTGATTACCTTTTACCTTATCACCTTCAGAACCCATATGGACATCTCACCTACCTTCTTATCTTCTCTGATCGCTGGGGCTTGGCGCCCATTCGACATCTACTCTCATTTCGGGTTCGATATTTTACTTAGGGGCGCTGTTTACTATAAAAACCTACATACAACTCTGGAATAAACCAGCTTTCGCACCCCACAGTTCAGAGCTCATTCGCACTCATCTCAACCATCGAAATCGTCTTCATCGACTCCCAAAAACTTGTCATCCTCGTCGTTCGGCCTCATTCGCGTTCGTACTCGTCTCTTCACTCGTACCCCCATCCTCCCTTGTCTATTGTCAGAGTCCCGTTGTCGCGCTCGCACATTGTTAGGCATCAAATAGTGATGGTAGAATGGAGGGCAGAATATCTGACTAGAAGAAAGAAAAGAGAAACAACCTGGAAGGGACAGGACATTTAATTCCGATTTTCTACATATTTTTCGAGTATTTTACCACTTAAACTTGATTTCCTATCCCTTTTCATACTTATAATTCGCTTTTGGGACAGATTCCAGAGCCTAGGGTCTATTTCAGAAAGGGCTAGACCATGGCAAGACAATAAGGAATGGAAAGAAAGCAGTGGAATCTGGTAGAATAGAAGGGAGCTTTAGTGGAAGGATGGAGAATGTTTAGGAAAGGGGGAAGGTCTAGGGCATTCCAAGCTGAAAGGAGGGGAAGGTTCTGAGCAATTCTGAAGGAAGCTGAAGGAATATTCTACCACATTCTGAGCCTTTCTTTTACTTTCCTTTCTGTTCGTCTGCTTTCCTCCTAATTCTTTTTATTTCTACAGCATTCTTTGTGACTCACAATGACTCTACTCAGCCTGTATATACTAGGAAGGAGATTCCCACTTGAAATAGTATATAAGAAGGCTGATTGTCCTGCTTCAGGCAGAGACCATCTCTCCCTCTTACTTTTACTCAGTCAGTCAGTGCCAGTCAATAAGTTCTTTGAGTGATATCAGTTGGAGATAAGCTGCAAGACTTGTAGGGATACTAGACGAACTAGTAGCTCGCCTTCAATCTGTGTAGCACCTCAGCAACTTGAATCACAAAGTTCTTAAGCCTCTCCTCATTATTCTCAACATTTACGGAGTATTGTCTTTGTTAGTGGTCCGGCACCACTTCAGAAATTCGCTAAATAGCTCAAGATATTCTCATCGTTGCCTATAACTGTGAGCAACATCTGTGTACCGTGCCAACACCAGAAGGTATCATCTAGAACAGCAATCAAACGAACACTAGGTACATCCGGAAAAACAGGAAACCCCGATCGTATCTAGGGGAGAAACCATTCCTCTCCGCGACATAATTGGAGCCCACCGCGAGGGGGGTATTGTTGCCGACATTCTAGGCTATATACCTTCACATCGTTGAGGTATTTTCACACAGAAACTATTATTTTATCGAATATTCTTTGGTCACTAGTCAGTCATCAATACATTCATCATGTCTCAAGGCTTGCAACCTCCCACAATGGGTGGTGGTCATAACATCACTACAGCACCTACCAACCCCATCATCAATACCGCAGAATCCATTCTTACCCTACCTCTTGTTGGAAACAAGAAAGCACCGAAGAAGTTCACTGGAGATTACAGAGAAGTCTCAAGGTTTATCAGACACTTTGAAAGGTTGTGCCAACAACATGACATCACTTCAGACCAAGACAAGTGCGAGACTATTAGACTCTACTGCTCTATAAGTGTTGTTGAGTTCATTGAAGGATTGAAGTCATTTATTGATGGACAGTGGGATGCATTGAAGAAGGATCTAGAGAAGTACTATGATGCTGCTCTCTATACTCAGCGTTTCAAGAAGAAGGATCTTACAGAGTTTGTGAAGAAGACCAAGTACAAGCGTATGGGAGACCTAGCAGCATGGTGGAGATATGCTAGAGATTATATCAAGATTGGTGGATGGTTAAAAGGAAAAGGTAAGATTACTGAAGATGAATTGAATACTTACTTCTGGGCAGGTATTGGACGTGGTCTGCGGTCTAGGATTGAAGCAAGACTGCTTGCATCTCAGCCCACTAGGGATAACTCTAAACCCTATCTTATGAAGGAGGTATCAGATATTGCGGAAAAAATTCTGCAGAGAGAAAAATTCGACGAGTATGTGGAATCGGATGACAGTGATGAATTTGGAACAGATTGGTCTGGCGATTCAGAATCTTCAACAGAAGAGAGCACAGATGAGGATATCAGGGTAGTCGAGGCAAGGAAAGCCAAAGCAGAGAGGAAGAAGAAGGAAAGTAGGAAGAAGGTTAGATATGAGAGGGAGCATCAAAGTCGCATGAAGGAACCAAGAAGTGGGGAAGAGCGCAGACCAAAAAGAAGAGGTACACCACCTCCTTCTGCTGCGAAACTAAGACAGAGTGAACAACAGGACGAGATTGAAGAACTCATCAAGCAAATGAGCAAGATGAATATCAATGATCCAACCTATGGCTTAGTCTATTATAGGGCATTAAAGCTTGATCCAACAGTTGCAGCAGTCGTGCGGGCTCCTAGATTAGATACACCTCCACCATCAATCTTGCCAGATCGTAGGGCTCCTGCTAGAGAAGCACCACCCCATATGACGTCAGGAATTTCTCAGCCAAATTTCCCACCTGCTAGACCACCAATCTCTGAAATGATTTGCTTTGGCTGTGGTGAAAAGGGCCATGGAATTTCAAACTGTGCTAAAGTTGCAGAACTAATCAAGGATGGAATGCTTGCTAGGGATAATGGAGGAAGACTTACTCATGGAAATGGAGCAAGAATCCAAAGATTCAATGGGGAATTCATTATTCAAGCTGCTGAACGTGAAAGGAATCGATCAACTAGAAGTAATCTGATCACCATTGATGGAGGTTCAAGCACACCCAATCATCATTCCTATCACACAGCAAGGTTCACTTCAGATCTGGATTCAGAATCTGATTCAGACGCAGGTTCAGAGGATGAAATCTATATGGTACAGCAGACAGAAGGCAGCTTATGGGATGTATATCCAGTCGAAAGGACAGAGAAGACTCTGCACAAGAAAAGAAAAATGGAGTTTGACGGAGTATACCCACCACCCAGAAATAAATCTCAAGCTAAAGAGAAACAGAAAGAAAAGGAAGAAATTCCTAGGCCGATCGAAGTAACTAGAATTCCTGGAGAAAAGGTTGGTCATCCTCAGAGATGGAAAGGTAAGGAACCTGAAAGAAGAGGAGTGCAATGGGAAGAAACAAGAGGAAGGAAGGAAGAAGAAGAAGAAGAGGAGGAAGAGTTACCTTCAATTAAAGTGCACCGCGATAGTGATGGAGCAAGAAGAACTCAACAAACTGAGGGATCAGGAAGTCGGGCAAGTATGCCTGAGAATGTGCTACCACCAAGAGTGATGGAGCCAAAACGTAGAAAGGTGGAGATCACACCAATAGAAGAACCAATGAGGTTTGATCCCAACAATGATGACGATTTTATTATGGAAGATGCTACACAAGGTACTACAAAAGAGGACAAAACCAAGAGAAATCCTGCTAAGAAGAGGACACCTCGGCAGTCGGTGATTTCCACTATCGTAGACCCTATGGCAGTGCTCGGACAAATCTTGCGGTCACCAGTTCAGTTGCCTGTCGGAGATATTTTAGGCTCGTCAAAAGAACTGGCTAATCTGCTTACCAAAAATCTGCGGCCGGTTACATCTTCGGAGGTAGAAGGAAAGTCTCTGATGGCAAAAAGGGATCAACAGGAAAATTCAAAAGGAAAGGAAAGAAATACCTTGGAGAATGAATCGACAGATGATCAGTCGCATAGACCATTGATCAAAATACCAGTTGAGATCAATGGCATAATTCTTGAAGGAATATTTGACACTGGTTCGAACATCAACATAATCAGTAAAGATGCTTGGCAACGAGCTGCGCGTTGGCCGATGAATATGAAACGAGGGATAACAATGAAAGATGCAAACGGAGGTGAAGGTTACTTACCGGGAATGCTAGCAAATGTTCCGCTTCGATGCGGGAATATTCAAACGCGTGCCGATTTATTTGTGGCGCCGCATGTGTCGTTTGAGCTCCTGCTTGGTAGGGCCTGGCAAGAAACTAATCTAGTGGCTCTAGACGAATTACGAGATGGTACTTACCTTTTGTTCAAAGATCCAGGTGATCCGGACGAAATCTTACACCAGTATTTTGTGGGACCGCGTCGGGGCCCGAGTGTGAGTACCACTGGTATAAATGGAGCTGCCAGGAATAATAAGATAGGACAAGTCAATAAAGTGGATGCAGGGAAGGGAATAGAAGTAGGGGACTCACCGAGTGATAACAACTCGAGAACGGATCGAGAAGGGTCGAGTATGGGCGAGAATCAGCTAGAAAAGGCTGGAAAGGAAGAAAAAGAGTTAGCAAGGGCAGAGGAACAAAAGAAAGTATCACAGGACCGGATGGAGGGACGCGTCACCGTAGGAGCGAGAATTGAAGAGAAACACCTAGAAATAAAAGCAAAAGGTATAAGTAACAAGATAGCTAAAGAAGAGGACGTACCAGCATCCCTTTCCACTATGTCTGGCACCGCAGAGATACGCCTTGACTACATACCGCTCGTTGAGACGGTCGCAAACCTACCGCTCCCAACGTGGGATGGAGGCGCGAGGCAGACGGCGCTTCAGGCTATTCAGCAAGGGCTCACGGAAATTGGATACCTACGGCGTACTCACCAGCTCACTGACCAGATTTTGACCTCACCTTATTCTATCGCTCTTGATGCCGGTATTGAGAATGGATATACCTATCATTCCTCGATCATGCTACATGTTGCTCAGCTGTCTTCGCATCCCGGGGAACCTTTGTCGTTGCGGATCGGCCATTCGTTCGTCAAGACGTATTTTGGATTGTCGGGAGGGGTGTCGGAAAGGGTTGAGTACCCTACGCTTCGAAGCCAGGTACTGTTCTTCAATACGGAAAATCCTGTGAATAGAATTGTGAGCGGACAGCTTACTGAAGAAGAAACGCACCTACAGGGTAATAATACGGCGCCGACAGGCATTCACGCACCTCCGGTCATTGAAGCGATAGAAATCGACTCACCAGCTCCAACTCTACAGTTACCGGAAGACAACGAACTTGAGGACCAGGAGCGCGAAGGACCTATGGTTGGACCAGTGTCAGTACAGGCAAATGAAGGGATAGGGTCGGTGCGTTTTCAGAGGCTGCTTGAGAGGATCGAGGCGATTAGAAGGGAAAGGGAAGGAAGGGTTTTGAATGAAAGGGAGGGAGACTGGATGGAAGGTGACGAGAGGCGTCAGAATATAGGTCAGGGGGACGGACCTTTCAACGATGGAACCATTGATCCTGGACTGCTCATGGCAGAAATCTCAGAGCCTCCTTTTCATCGGCTTGTCGACTCCTATAACTCCACTCCTGCTCCGAACAACTCTCGCGAGGCATCGGTCTTGCTCTTGGAATGCGCACCAGCTAGCATGCAGAGAGAGCCGGTAGCGACGAGGGAAGGATTCCTGGAAAACAGATCAGTAGGACAGAGGGAAGAAGAAGGGACTCACAGCTCAGACGACAGGCAGGCAGCCGCGTTTGTTATGGCGCGTGGGGAGTACGCTTCAGTGGATTTGAGAGATCAGTATGGAAGGCAGGCCGCGTTTATCCCTTCATTAGCGGCACCTGAAGTGCTTTCAGCCGGTGACGACCAGCCTCAGTTCGTCCGTAGGGGAAGCTTTGTTGAGGTGGCCAGTACGGGTGAAGTGGTAGCAAGGCTTGACGAGGCACCGAGCAGTTTCCCTGATGCGGGGTACCTATCCGACATCGCTCACACACATCCCGTTACTTTCTTTGAACTTGCGGATCAAACGGTTGTCGGCTACTCACCTAATATGGTGCCGAACATCCCTATCTTTCCTTTTATCCCTGGCGCTTCGTACTTGCTGGCTCTAGCTCATGCAACAATCGCAGTGGTTGTCTTCTGGAGAAGAAGGATCCAGCGCTTGGTCCTGCGAGTAAAAAAGAACTTTGAAGAACGGGAGGAGGAGGCGTCAGAGGAGGAAATAATAGAGAAGGACTCAGAGGTCCAGAGGGAATTAAAGCACCCGTGTGTTATCCATCTTCTTGATACACCTGGAAGTCACTCGGATTTTGCAAGTTTGCTGGTGCATCCACGAGACTGGAGCCCACTCTTCACGGTGGAAGAGGGCGCATTCTTCAGGACGACCATCGATTACTTCAGGCTCGTTGGAAGGTGGGATTTTGCTGAGGCTCTGCATACGCTGCTAGGACTCCATTTTGCAGATGACGACATTATACGGTGGCTAGTCAACAGCAACCTCGCGGATCCACAGCGCAGCACTCACCAAGATCTTTACGACAATTCCTTTCGGCGCGCAGAAGCGAAGGTCCACGCGCTCATCCTGCGTGAGGATCCCTGGTATGCATACCCTGGGGAAAATTCTTCAGAGGTTAGTGAGATTGATTAGGGTGCGAGTGTTCTGTTATTTCACGCTATGCCTCGTTCTTATTTTCTTTTTACATGCAGCATCCGAGTTTCATTTTTTCTATCACCCAAACCTTGTTTCTTCATGCTGGATCGAATTTTGGTTACACTCATATGTGAGTTTCCTATATGTTCAAATTCCTGAGGACCATAGTATTCAGCTCGGTCCTATTGAGGGCACATCTCGAAATTTCTCAGTCGCACTTCCATATTTTGTCTGCTCAGTCATTTTATGCCTTCCTTTCTGCTTCAGTATGTGTCTTCCTTACAATGATTCTGATATGATAGTGGACTGCTTGATGCTTTTGGCTTATGCATTCGGTCTGTGTGTACGATACAACGATTCTGCACGTTTTGAGAATGGGCGATTTATGCTCGCGTTGATCGGATTGGGTGGCGCGCTTCTTTTGAGCCTACAGGGCATTCATTTTTCATTTACAGCAGGCTTGTATGCTTGGTTTTTACGGGTCTGGAGATGCCCGCATATTGTAGAGCAATGTGAACGCGTCTACAGCTATGTCGACGAGAAATCAAGCTCACCAAAAGCTCAGTCCAAGGAGCCGGAACCGGTCCGAGTGGCACACGTGAACGCAGTGGCGGCAAATCGGAATATGCCGAGCCACCCTGAGAATCAGTTCTCGGGTACAATGTATAAGCGAGTCGATCAAAAGGTGAAGCCAGTGGCTGGAACGTTTCCGGAGTTTGCCCGAGTCACGAGGCAATTCCCGGAAGATCCCTTGCTTAGTCTGCCGGTTTTGACTCCTAATCCTCCGGAATTCAAGCCAACAGAAAGGATTTCAGAGGAGGGAATGAAGATGTTGCTTATTAATGAGGAAGGATGGCTTTGGCCAGAAGAAATCAAGTTATTTCAACATATTATGGTGTTAAATCAAGAGGCGTTGGCATTCAAAGAAGAGCAGAGAGGGACTTTCAAGGAATCATATTTCTCTCCATATATTATTCCAGTTGAACCTCATACACCATGGATTCATAAAAATATTCCCATTCCTCCAGGAATCAAGGACAAGGTTATCAAGTTACTCAAAGACAAAATAAAGGCAGGAGTGTATGAACACAGTCAATCGGCATATCGGTCAAGATGGTTCTGCGTCTTGAAGAAGAATGGAAAACTCAGGATTGTTCATGATCTTCAGCCATTAAACAAGGTTACTATTCGGGATGCAGGACTTCCTCCAATTGTCGATGACTTTGTAGAACCTTTTGCGGCAAGAGCTTGTACTACAGTTTTTGATTTATTCTGGGGTTTTGACGGAAGAAAAGTGCATACAGATAGCAGGGACCTGACAGCCTTTTTGACTCCTTTAGGTGCTCTCAGGCTAACTTCGATGCCAATGGGATTTACCAACTCGGTTGCAGAATTTCAGAATAGCATGGTTTTTATTCTGCAAGACGAAATACCTGATAAAGCAAACATTTTTGTAGATGATTTAGGGATTTCAGGACCAGAAACTACCTATCCTGATGAGAACGGTAACCCAGAAGTTCTAAAAGAAAATCCAGGAATCAGGAGATTTATTTGGGAGCATGCAGTTGATGTTCATAGGATTATGCATCGAATGAAGCACGCGGGCGGTACCTTTTCACCAAACAAAGCGCAAATTTGCAGAAAGGAAGTGGTCATTGTCGGACAGAAGTGTACTCCTGATGGGAGGAAACCAGAAGACAAGAAAGTGGAGAAAATTCTTAAATGGCCAACGCTGGCCACAGTAAAGGAAGTGCGCGGCTTTCTAGGACTATGCGGTACCGTCAGGATTTGGATTCCAAATTACTCACAGATAGCTAGGCCGCTTACAGAACTTGTGCGAAAGAACACAGATTTTATTTGGGATGACAGGAGGGAAAAAGCTTTCAATATGCTCAAGCAACTCGTATCTTCGGCGCCAGCACTCAGACCAATTGACTATGAGTCATTAAATCCAATCATCTTATCAGTTGACTCCAGCTATGTAGCTGTAGGTTTCATTCTCTCTCAGCTTGATGATCAAGGAAGAAGAAGACCCGCTCGGTACGGATCGCTACCAATGAGCGAAGTTGAGTCTAGATATTCTCAGCCCAAACTGGAATTATTTGGACTATACAGAGCACTCAGACACTATAGGCTATACATCATAGGGGTCAAGAATCTTTATGTGGAGGTGGATGCAAAATACATCAAAGGGATGTTAAACTCGCCAGACTTACAACCAAATGCAGCTATTAATAGATGGATTCAAGGAATCTTGCTCTTTGATTTCACACTGGTCCATGTTCCAGCAGAAAGGTTCAAGGCGGAGGATGCCCTATCAAGAAGAAGGTTAGGAGAAGATGAAGAAGCAGAATTCGACGATGATAGCTGGTTAGAGTCTATTACTTATCATGTCGGCGGAGTAGGGAAAGAATACCCAACAGAAGGCATTCAAAAGACAAGAAGCTATCAAGTAGAAGACCTTCCATCTACATTTGCAGCAGCTATCTCTCAGGAAAAGAATCTACAGGACATATTCAAATTTCTGCAGACACTTCAATATCCGGAATATGTTAAATCCACCCAAGACGATAGGAGGTTTATACAGAAAGCTACCAAATTTTTTATTCAGAAAAGCAATATGTTCAAAAGGAATGGAGATAAGCCACCCTTAAAAGTTATCTTTGACAAAAATCAACGGTTAGATATTCTGACAAGAGCGCATGAAGGATTAGGGCACAGAGGAGAACAAGCGGTGTTTGAAACTATCCGGATCAGGTTCTTTTGGCCGCATATGTTCAATGACGTGCGTCACCATGTGCGATCTTGTCATGAATGCCAAATCAGAAGCACTAGAAGAGTTGAAGTGCCCTTGACAATATCGACACCTAGTACGGTCTGGAGTAAGATTTATGTTGACATAATGCTCATGCCGCTTGCTAAAGGATACAGATATATCGTAGCAGCCAGAGACGATTTATCTAGAGCCTCAGAAGGACGGGCCTTGCGTAGGGCAGACTCTAAGACACTGATGAAATTCTTCTGGGAACAAATCTATTGTCGTTATGGAGCAGTCGGCGAAGTCGTCACAGATAATGGATCAGAAGTCAAAGGAGCATTCAAGCTTCTTTTGGAACGAATGGGAATCCCTCAAATCACTATCTCACCCTATAACTCTAAAGCCAATGGAGTCGTTGAAAGAGGGCACTTTATTATCAGAGAATCAATTGTCAAGGCCTGCGAAGGAAACATTGCGAAGTGGCCAGAAAAGGTACAAGAAGCATTCTTTGCTGATAAGATCACAATCAGCAAAGTCACAGGATTCTCGCCATACTATCTTTTACATGGGGTTCACCCAGTTCTGCCCTTTGACTTAACAGAATCTACATTTTTGGTGAAAGGCTTCAAAAGTGGTATGTCAAGAGCAGATCTTTTAACTTTGAGGATGCGGCAAATCCAGAAGCGGCAGACAGATTTGGATAGAGCAGCAGCCCAGCTGACAAAGTTTAGGATCAGATCAAAAGAGAAGTTTGAGAAGAAGTTCCAAAAGCGGATGCAATTTGGACCATTTGATCCGGGTGACTTGGTTTTGGTGCGACACACAGAAATAGAAAAGAGTCTAGACAGGAAGGCCAAGCCAAGATACAGAGGGCCTTATCAAATAGTACGACGTAATCAAGGCGGTGCCTACATTCTTAGCGAATTAAGCGGGGAAATTATGAGGGAAAAATATGCAGCATTTAGGATTCTACCATATATTGCCAGAGATAGGAAGGCGCAAAGAATCATGCAGTCTAGATACAGAGGAGGGAGCACCGAACCTAAAGACAGCAGCTCAGAAGAGGAAGACTAAAAATAGAAAAGAAGCTGGAAGAACGGTGATAAAGAAGACGTGGATTAACATGAGCCTGATGCCAAGGAATTAAAAAGGGAAGCTCGGAAAATCAGGACACACAAGCGCACATAGGAATGAACGGGGAAAGAAACAGGGAAGTTGTAAAACAAAGTTCCTCATTCCACTCGCCATCATCTTCACCCTCAGTAACACGTCGTCTACCTCATCTGCCATGAAACCTTTACTTAAGATTGGTCAGGGAATCAATATCTATCCCTATAGCGCTATACCGGTAACTACCGGACAGAGCTCGACGACAGGGACGATCTGTATCATGGAGCACATGGAAGGGGACCCATCAACTCTATGTTCAGCGGCACCCACCTTAACGCGTGGATTGATTAATCTGTTCAATGTGCCTGGAGGATTAAGGATAGAAAAGAAGGTATGGATTTTGGAGAAAGCAGGACTGGATGCGGTATGGGAAGGGAAGCAGTTGCTGACCAGATGTGAAGAAGAGGATGCATGGATGGAGGTGAATATTCAGCAGTATCTGGGAACAGACCCGATGGTGAGCTTGTTTAGAGGATCAGTGCGGAGCGAAGAACCAGGAAAAGTTAACTGGTGGGCAGACCATATTCTGGTGCCTAGCGTAGCAGCAGATGTTATGGGCATCCTCACTTATTCGTTCAGAATGCCAGACATTACCCTATTTTTTGCTCGTCCTTACTTACAGTTTGTGCCAAGGCTTGGCGAGATAGCTGACAGCTCATTTGAGCACACTGCGTTCATTTCCAGACTTCAGCGTGACGAGAAGGAGACCAAGGAATGGCAGTATAACAGATAATCTTTCTTATTTCTCTTAAATCTCTTCTACTATAACTATGGGGAGCAGACAATTTTCATACCACTTTTGCTTTTTGTCATTTTATTATCAGTTTACTTTTACTCAGGAACTTATGAAGATACAGCTGACGGTTTCAGCATTTAGGAGCATATGTGGTGGCGACACAAGGTTGATACCGGAAAATCTAGAGCGGTCGCGGCTTTAAGGGTTCAAAAGCTTGGCTATGGACAAATTACAAGAAGGGAGCATAATCTATGGGAATATATTAAGGCTAACTAAGCGTGTCAAGTATCAACCATCATGTCGACTAACCACAGTGATCAGTTGTCGTGGTGGAATACTCTCCCTCGATCATTATTCCGCAAGCGGAGCACCATCTTTCCTCAGCCACCAGTGGACTTCCAGCCACTTATAGTTCCATCTCACCCACGGCCGGATTTGATTGATGTTGCATCAGTATTTCCTCCCCCACGCTCATTCTCATCTATTTTATCTGAACCTATACACCGTGTCGACCTCGCATTACTCGCACCATCCATCACTGTTCCAGAAACACCAGTTAATGTGCCTGGTACCATAGCAATTACCCCCGTGGAGCCTGGAATTCGGATGCCACCAATGCAGGCAGGAGGAATAATGATGGGAGTAACGGTGATTACAGAGCGAGATGGAGTATGGTTGGAGGAAGGAGTGTCGATTGACGTTATCGAAAAGAAGGAAAACGGAGTATTTGACTATCAGTCAATTGTCCTGGGGCAGAGAATCTGGAGGGATGATAGGATTGTGGTCTTTTCAGGAAAAGCAAGTGGCAAGCAGATCGTCGTTATCGCCTCTACTCATCGGGTCAACTCACCCTCTCCCATGGGATACGCTCTGTATCATAACTTTGGCGAGTACATTCGTGCTCTTTTTATTGCCGATCGTGAACGAGAAGTAACATCTACTGAGGATGTGGAGGAAATCACCAGGCGGGCATTAGGAGGAGCAGGGGCTCAGATATTTCGTCGCTTTCGTCATGCCTAATCTTGTTTTACGGTATGCTCCATAAACATTCTTACAGTCTATCCTTTCTTCCCTTTTGAGTTTCTATGGACATGCCTTTGGTATCACGATTCAACAATCTTTTTAACATTCATTAGCACTTCCAAGTTTCTTTTTTTTGAAATCATGGAATCACGTAGCCTAAAAAGAATATACCGTCAACCGGGGACGGTTGAATGCTAGTGCCCCGCGGATGTCGCGCTCGCACATTGTTAGGCATCAAATAGTGATGGTAGAATGGAGGGCAGAATATCTGACTAGAAGAAAGAAAAGAGAAACAACCTGGAAGGGACAGGACATTTAATTCCGATTTTCTACATATTTTTCGAGTATTTTACCACTTAAACTTGATTTCCTATCCCTTTTCATACTTATAATTCGCTTTTGGGACAGATTCCAGAGCCTAGGGTCTATTTCAGAAAGGGCTAGACCATGGCAAGACAATAAGGAATGGAAAGAAAGCAGTGGAATCTGGTAGAATAGAAGGGAGCTTTAGTGGAAGGATGGAGAATGTTTAGGAAAGGGGGAAGGTCTAGGGCATTCCAAGCTGAAAGGAGGGGAAGGTTCTGAGCAATTCTGAAGGAAGCTGAAGGAATATTCTACCACATTCTGAGCCTTTCTTTTACTTTCCTTTCTGTTCGTCTGCTTTCCTCCTAATTCTTTTTATTTCTACAGCATTCTTTGTGACTCACAATGACTCTACTCAGCCTGTATATACTAGGAAGGAGATTCCCACTTGAAATAGTATATAAGAAGGCTGATTGTCCTGCTTCAGGCAGAGACCATCTCTCCCTCTTACTTTTACTCAGTCAGTCAGTGCCAGTCAATAAGTTCTTTGAGTGATATCAGTTGGAGATAAGCTGCAAGACTTGTAGGGATACTAGACGAACTAGTAGCTCGCCTTCAATCTGTGTAGCACCTCAGCAACTTGAATCACAAAGTTCTTAAGCCTCTCCTCATTATTCTCAACATTTACGGAGTATTGTCTTTGTTAGTGGTCCGGCACCACTTCAGAAATTCGCTAAATAGCTCAAGATATTCTCATCGTTGCCTATAACTGTGAGCAACATCTGTGTACCGTGCCAACACCAGAAGGTATCATCTAGAACAGCAATCAAACGAACACTAGGTACATCCGGAAAAACAGGAAACCCCGATCGTATCTAGGGGAGAAACCATTCCTCTCCGCGACACCGTGTGGCTCTTGAAGCACGTAGTTGTCGGTCGCGACACTACCTTCTCGTTACCGACCGAATCCCCGACACGACCGACCGAACGTTCGGTCGGTGTTCGGCGCAGTCCCGAAACCGTTCGGGCGCTATAATCTCATACTCCCCGTTGCTTCTCAGTACGCCATCGATTTCTAAAGTCATCACTAACAATTCCTTGTGTATTAGATACTAGCTCCAGCACCCCCTGCATTAGAGGTTGTTTTGGTGTTGTGCCCAGCACTTAGAGCCACCTCTAGCGTATCATTTTGGAGCCCACCGCGAGGGGTTAGTATTCAAAATTACCTCAAGGAATCTACGTCGCTCGTCCCGACCAACAGCGGAGCGCGAAGAACGACAAACAGTTATCGATAGCTTCAATACTCAGGAAACATCTGCTGACCGAAGTTTGTTCGGAGACGCCGATATAGTCCCAGAACACTTATCCCACCATCACTACCTTGATCTCGAATCCTCGCCATCGCTCTCACCACCACCCGACTCCACTTTCTTCTTAACCCCACCTTCGTCGCCGAACCGATCGCTACTCCCGCCGATTTCCCCCATCCTCGACCTTGCACTCTTAGAACAATCACCCCCGTCTCCTATCCCATCTCTCCACGACTCCATCTCTCCGTTAATCCCACGCAGCCCCGTCTTCTGGACGCCGACCATCCGACCGACTTCACTAGAATGCTCCTTCGAACCAGCGACTCCATCCCCGATCACCTTAGAAAACAATACCTTCTCCCCCACCTTTGACTTTCTCACTATGGCGACCCCATCCATGCCTGCTCGTGGAGATCGAACGGCCCCGACCTTTGACCCCCATCAACCCCGCGAATTGAGACGATATTTCTCCGATCTGGACTTCCACTTTGTTCGGTCTGCGGTAGTGGACGAACAAGAAAGAAAGAAACACGCTTGCCGATTCCTAGATGTCGACACCTGTGAGCTTTGGGAATCGCTCACCACTTTCACCGACGCCACGAAGACCTTCAAGGAGTTCTGCGAAGAGGTCTACAGGCTATACCCTGGATCGGAGGAAGAACGCAAATGGTCGGTATCGGATATGGACAAGCTAGTCGGCAAAACGAGCAGGGTCGGCATCTTGTCTCTCAGCGAACTCGGCGACTATCATCGGCGATTCCTGGCGATCACGGTGATACGCTAGAGGTGGCTCTAAGTGCCGAGCACAACACCAAAACAACCTCTAATGCAAGGGGGTGCTGGAGCTAGTATCTAATACACAAGGAATTGTTAGTGATGACTTTAGAAATCGATGGCGTACTGAGGAGCAACGGGGAGTATGAGATTATAGCGCCCGAACGGTTTCGGGACTGCGCCGAACACCGACCGAACGTTCGGTCGGTCGTGTCGGGGATTCGGTCGGTAACGAGAAGGTAGTGTCGCGACCGACAACTACGTGCTTCAAGAGCCACACGGGACTCTGACAATATACGAGGGAGGATGGGGGTACGAGTGAAGAGACGAGTACGAACGCGAATGAGGCCGAACGACGAGGATGACAAGTTTTCGGGAGTCGATGAAGACAATTTCGATGGTTGAGACGAGTGCGAATGAGCTCTGAACTGTGGGGTGCGAAAGCTGGTTTATTCCAGAGTTGTATGTAGGTTTTTATAGTAAACAGCGCCCCTAAGTAAAATATCGAACCCGAAATGAGAGTAGATGTCGAATGGGCGCCAAGCCCCAGCGATCAGAGAAGATAAGAAGGTAGGTGAGATGTCCATATGGGTTCCGAAGGTGATAAGGTAAAAGGTAATCAGTGATGTCGAAATCCCGAACGTTCGGGATCCGTTGCCCGAGCGTAGGTAGCAGGAACAGGCGTTGGAGAGCCAATGAAAAATAAAGAAGAGGTGTCGTACGACCGGGGTGGCCAAGCAATGGTGCAAGATCGCGTTTGACCGACCATGCGGAAGTCAGGAAGATAAGCGATAAGGACCGACCGACTCACGGAGGACATCGGCCGATACAGAATACTGGCTCCGATCTCGTAAACACTTATCGTAACACTCCTATGCGGTCATGGTAAGTACGTGAAGTGTGGGCAAACTGACCCAAGTGCTGCCGGACGTCCTTCGGTGGCTTGTCGTCGGTCGGGTAGGGACCGATCGTGTTCGGTAAAAGTCGGCATCTTCGGTACTTGTCGAGCGCTGTTCGGTATCTCCCCAAAGCTTCCCGAAGACCTCCCTCGGACCCTAGCGCGGGTGCATGCTCATCATCTCCTCCCTACTGAAATCCTGACTGTCCTCAGTCAGTGGTCGGCGACTATGAGTCGGAGCGGAAAAAAAGTGGTGTGGAAAATGTGGGAAAGAGTTGGTAACAAGCGATAGCGTGGAAAGAATAGCTGTGGCGTGGAAAATGGAGCGGTGTGGCAAGTTTCGTGGGAAAAGATCGGCTATGAGCGGTGGCGTGGACAGGGGTGGGTGCGTGGGAGAGATGTGGCACAGGTGAATAATCGGCAAGGAGATGTCGTAGAAAGGACCGGGTCGGCGCGCAAGAGAGACCGGGGCTGAGTTGGCAAAGTCCTGTGGCGTGGCAACTGATTAGGTGAGGCAGTGGCTGAGACCTAGAGTGTCCCAACTAGACGCTGGTGTGAGAGTCGTGTCGGCAAAGAGCGGTGGCGCGTATCGCGGCTTCTGCCAAACGCAGTGGCATGGGGCTTCGTCAGGTGACCACAATCACCTGATGATCGTTGATTCTCCAGCGACTAAGTCCCTCATCGCCCTCTTCCCGCCACTTCGTCTCCTCGTCCGACTCCTTTCGGCCTTCCCACCATGTCTTCCCTCCTCTCTGTCCTCAAAACCAAGCTCGGGGAGTACATGCTCGCCCTTCCCGATGGCGCCGCCGAGTACGAAGATTACGAGGCCTGGGCGCAGGGGTTTGCCAAACGAGTGGTAAGTCGGCTCTTCCTCTTGTTTGTGCTTAGATGCTGACACCTTCTTAGGCTGTGTTCGACCGATCGGCGCGTGGGCAGGAAGTGCCCGAACTCGCCGACTGGATCGCCGAGGCCGAGCGCGGCCTCGATCATATGGCCACCGACCACTGGCTAGCCTGGGGAACGCGAATCTTGCCGCAGCGTGCGGTGCGCTTTGCCGCGCAGCAACAAGCGGTCGAGGCACAGGCCCTGGAGGAGGAAGCTGCGCGGGTAGCCGCTGCCGAACGCGAGGCTGAGGAGGCTGAGGTGGCGCGCGCTGCTTCTATCCTTCGGGTGGCCGAAGAAGGTCGTCAACGTCGCCGGGAGGCACTGGTGGAGGCGATGTTCAGTGGGTTGCTCGATGCGGAAGAGGGAGATCGTCAGATGGCCGCCCTAGAAGCCGAGTCCGTTCTTCCCCTCCCTCTCTTTCTTCGTTCTCCTTCTCCATCCGTTCCTGCCGCGTCCTCCTCTCGTCCCGAGCCCTCCTTCGCCCCTTCGCCTTCTCAACCTCATCCCTCGGTCGCCGAGTCCGACCTCGCATCCGCAACCGCCGCCTTGCATCGCATGAGCGTCGACCCGGTCGCTTCGGCCGCCCCGACCAATGTGAACGGCAAGCCGTCGGCGGCTGCTGTTGTTGTCGAGTTCGCGCGTCAACGGACGCCATCTTCCGGCCGCGTCGTGCTTCCGCTGGGCCCTGGTCACGGCCGGATGTCGACGGTTCGGGCCCCAGAGGAACGGAATGGTGCCGGTAAGGTCTTCAAGGACCCCCCTGGGCTAGTATCTGGTGATCGCCTGGTGCGTCCCTTCCCTTTTGCCGCCTCCTGAGACTGACCTTCTTCTTTTCTAGGCCGAGTACGCCTGTAGTCGGTGCTCCTCCGATTTCTCGACCGTGGCGTTTCGTTGCTACACCCGGCCTGGTCAGGTGTCTTGTATCAAGTGCGCCGACCAGCAAAAGGGGTGCAGTTTCCAGCCCGGGTGGACACCGACGGGGAAAGGAAAGTCGACGGGGAAAGGAAAGTCGACGGGTAAGGGGAAGTCGAAGGGGAAGGTTTCCGACAAGTCGGAAGCGAATGAACTGTTGCGCCCATCAAAAAAACGCAAGGTCGAGGTCCTCATGCCCGAACGTTCTGTCGGTGCAAGCATAGCGCAGACCAGAGGTGAGTACCGGTTTGATTAGTGCTGGGATGGGAGCTCATCGGGTTGTCTCAGGTGTGCGGGCTCGGAAGCCTGTCCAACGCCTTCCCACCACCACCCGTGCCGTTCCCTCCTCCTCCCGCTCCCGTTCTGTCGCCGTCCCCGCCCTGTCCGACTCGTCTCGTTTGTCGCCGATCGTTGCGCAAGGCATCGCGTCCGATCTTCGGTACCGGATCGCTGTGGCGGAGGGTACGCGGGCTTCGTTGGCGTGGTCGATCAAGATGTGGCAGGCGGAGTTGGAGTCGCTCGAGGTGCAGGCGGGTCCGTCTACGTCTTCGGACGTCGTCTTGGTCGAGGATTCGTCGGCGGCGGAGGATTCGGATATGTCTGTGTCGGGCGATTTCGTACCCGATGAGTAGAATAGTTTCGGCGATTTCTGTAGTACAGTAAAATGTAACATAATAGTGAAAGGACTGTCCTAGTTTGAATGAGACGTTTTTGGCGAAGACTAGAGGTGTCGTTCGAGAAATCGGTCGGCAAAATGACTGCGTGTGAATGTAGTTGTAAGCGAAGCGTTCGGTAGAAATGCAGAAAATAAATTGGAATATTTAGGGGAAGCCTCAGTATGTCATCACAGGCATAAAACCCTATGGTTTTGCGCAAATCGGAAGAAGTCTTCAATGCGGCTTGGTACTTGAAGGAGTGATGGGAAAATGAGTGCCGACTATTCGGTCGGCGATCGGTCGGTGGTAAAAGTACTAAGATATGTAGAAATGATTGGGTGTCAGTCCATGTCTGTGACGAATAAACGAAGATAAGGAATGGGTATATCTGTGAATCCTCCTCCCTACTGAAATCGTGACTGTCCCCAGTCACCGACCGAAGAGAGCGAAGGGTGGGAGGGTGGGATCTAGTCGGAGGTTGCCGAAGCCGCGTCGTCGTCCTCCGCCGATCGGACTGAGCTGGTGTCGGTATCTTCATCGGCACTATCGTCTTCGGCGTCGTCGTCGCTCGATCGGGAATCTTCCATGGCCCGAAGGCGTTCCTGCGAGATGTCGAGGAGGGCTTCAAGGTCGGCGAGCTTCAGAGATCTGCGAGCAAAATAAGGAATAATGCGGAATGCTGCAACTGGTCGATCAAAGACCGATCCATCGAGTTCGGCCAAAATATACGCTCCTCCCCGATTCCTAGAAATTACTAGCAAAGGTCCTAAATAACGTGGACGCATCTTCCGATTGAGCGCCTTTTCTATGGCTGTGTTGCGCATCAGGACAAGCGAGCCTCGGTGGAAATTGAAGTCGCGAAGTGTGGCCAAATGCTGTTGTTCGAATCGGATGGCGGCCTGGACACGGGCGCCGACTACTGAGCTGCGAAGGTGGGCAAGGTCCGATCGTCGTTTCTGCAAAGCGATGGCACGTCGAGCAATGAGGTCGGTGGTGCTGAGGGCCGTGGTCGGTGGTGGTAGAAGATAGGTGGCTTCGGCGATGTCGAGGGGAAGGAGGGGATGGGTTCCGGTCGCTGCGAAGTATGGCGAGCAACCCATTCGGCGCCGAACAGTAATACGATCAGCCCAGAATACGAAATGAGCTGCACGATTCCACTTGGCCTGGTCTCCATCAACGGCTTTGAACAGAGCCTGCCGAACGTCGAAGTGAGGTCGTTCGGCGATGCCGTTGGCGCGGGAATTGTAGCCCGAAATGCGAATGTGCCGAACGTGGTACTTCTTTGCTAGCTGGTCGAGCGCCTTGACGAATGCCGGTCCGTTGTCGGAGACAATCTCTACCAGTGTTCCCCATCGGCACAGGATATCCTCGAAGATCCAGTCGGTGAGTGCGGAGCTTGTTTCGCATCGCAGCATGCGGAATTCGGGGTAGTGTGATACCGAACAGCGGCCTTGCACGAGATACTTGAAACCACCAGCGGTCGGCATGTGCATGGTGTCCATATACATCTTCGCGAAGAGTGGTGCAGGCGTAGCGACGGTCGGGGGAATGAGGACGTTGCAAGTCTGGCGAATCTGGCAAAGGTGACAGGTCCGAACAAACCAGGAAATGTCTTGCCTCATGTGCGGCCACCAGAAGCGTTCGGCGATCAAGGCAGTC